CAATTAGAAACGACCATTAGATCTGTTTATTTCTATTCTAAGTAATCTCCATTCTGTATACGTAATTTTAATTATTTTCTTTGCCTCCTTTGGAATATTCGAAATAATTTTCTTTTAGTGGCTTGGCCAAATACTATGAAAATGTTTAATAAATGAAGTTAAATAAGAAATGATGACTTAAACCCTTTGAAGTGTCCTTACTGAAGCATGATGAAGCTCTACTAGACAAGAAAGCTTTTAGTTGTATTAGGGTCAATTCACAATCGATATATATACATGATTGAATTGCATTGGTTGGGTGGGTAAAGAAAGGGAACAGACAACACCTTGGTTCCCAAACAACAAGTAATTGATCTGATTAGGCGATCTATTCTGTCGGGTAGTACAGTAGGTTTTAGTTGGTTTTATTGATATTGCTTTTTACCGTTTAGTGCACCTAAAATATTGTGCGAGAGTGTATGTGTCTAAAGTGTAGGAAGAACCCCGACAATCCGGCGAGCTAGTTAGAGCATAGCTAGAGGTGCACGCCCCGAACCTTTGGACAATATATGTAGTTCGTTTCGTTCAACAAAATTCATGATTATTAACATCTGAGCGTTGAAAATAGATCTGGACGATCCGCTGCATAGCCACATAGGCGGCACGCTACACTTGTTTGCCTGGTGCCTTCGATTTATGTTTGGCACGCGCTGTGACTGCGACTGCTACCAAAAAGTAAATTAAATTTGAAATTTTTTATTACGAAATATTTTATTTAATCTTATTGCTCTGCTGCTGTCGCACACAGACGCAAACAACCATCCTGCAACAGCGTGTCGCGTTGGGGGGTAAGCAGTATGGGCTCTGGATGCTAGCTGCCTGTGCTCTGTTTAAGGTAAATTGCGTTTTTCGTTTTGAAAATAATTATGTGCGGATTGTCAAGCACAAACGTTTCAGCACTGCCTTCGGCACATCCTTCGCGTTATTGTGTTTCTTGATTTATTTCTTCTTTTGTTTTTACATATTTGCAAATATTTATTAATCTCTTTTATTTATGTGAATTGTGCTAAAATAAATTGGGATATTAATGCTTGTGTGTGTGCCATCATCTTAAATGTTTGTTCACGCAAAATAAGCAAACGAATTTTCAAATTTATTAAGCAAACAAATTATCGGAATAATTGAAGCTTCAGTTGCTGGGATTTGGACTAAATACTTCAAGCCAGAGTTGATGTTTTAACTGATCAGAGCTCATTAGTGGGATTAGTGACTTTGCCTTAAATTAATATTAATAGGACACATAACATGGAACTAAGTATCTTATGTAAGCAAGGAAGAACGCTCGTAAAGGATTAAATCTCACTAAGATGAAAGTCTTTGCCAGCGAACATTTGTTCGTGTATTTTATTTCGCTGAGAAATGCGTCACTCTTCTAAGCATAGTATTTACTTAAAAAATTTAAAGTTAAAAACAAATATTTTATACTAATTGTAAATGCTGGAATTAATGTTGCAATGTGGCAGTGGCTTCAAATTGCCGCACTGGCAATGAGAAATCTTCAGTCCTTTACTGCCACATCTCTCAGAATATGTTGACAGAATTTTTAGCTGAGCTGCGGGTAAAATAAATGTTTTAAAGCTATCTTAATATTTCGTATTTGACTCAACATGTAACGTAATACATTCTGTTTAATATAATTTGCACAGCTCGACCAACCTTTTTAAAAAGTTTTAAGCACCTCATCTTAGTTATGTCAACAAACACTAATAAGAGGGTGCGTGTTAATGGCTCGTGTTTTTGAAAGTGTGTAAGAATGTATACATATAAGCCATAATCAGTTTAAAGCAGCGACAGGGCAAAACTTCTGCAATTACCAGAGCAACGTACATATGTATATACTATACATGCATAGTATATACTTACAATAAGCATACATACATAAGTACGTGTACATACAGCGACATCGACAGCAGCGCTGAAAAGCACAACAAAACGCAACAGAAGGCAAATAGATGAGAACACTGCGAAAAGTGAGCAAAGGGAAAACTCTTGGAGAAAACTGCTTACAATTTGATTTAAGCCAAGTCTCAAATGTTTGTCACCAGCAAATAGACAGACAGAAGGCCAGAGACGTGGAGTGACGTACAAGTGGGTAGACGAGTGAGCTCCAACTATATAAATCACGAGTGGGAGGCAGCAAGTAAAAGACAAGGCGAGTGACAAACGACAACGCCAACTTTAATTACCGCAAAAGTTGTCAAGTTGTATGGCAAACAGTTGCACCCACGTCCATTCACCGACCTACTCCCGACCTGCCCAGCTCATCTCATTTCAACTCAACTCAACTCAACTCATTGTGTCTATTATCTGTTCTTGTTTGCACGTAAAACGCATTAAAATGGCAAAAGTTAAAATTACAATTAAACACAAAGTGCAGCGGCAGTCAAGCCGCCCGCCAGTGAAGCCGTCTAAAAAGTTGCCTCAAGTGAACTCCCTCCATTACCCAGTCCCACACAATCCGTTGTTACCCGATATCCTTGCTGAATGTTGCACAAAGTGAGGCTATGGCCATGTGGAATGCAAACAAACTCGCCATCAGCGGGGGCCGAAGCCCTACGCAAGTGCAGCGTCCGACGACGGCAAAGTAAATTGTTGGCTTAACAAATTGCTAATCCACTTCTACTGGACGACAAGGGGTAGGACTGGGTGGGGGGTGGTGCGGCTGGATTCGCTTGGCAAGGCACCCAGTTGCATTTGCATTTAAATGCTTTTGTTTTCAAGTTTAGCAAGCAATTCAAACGGTAAACGGGGCTGGAAGTGGAAAAATATTTAATAAAATGTGAACAAAAATGTCAAGAAGAGAAAGTGTAAATCATGATATATTTACAAGTATACGAAAAAAGAACAACAAGATTTGGCTATATCCTGACAAAAATATGAACTTAATATTTCAATGATGTTTTTAAGATATTTAATTATATTAAACCGAAGTTTTTATACAATTTTCCTCCTGCTAATTATTATTAATAATATTTCTCAATGGGTTGCCATAACGCTCGAGTAATAATATTAGCTCACGATTGGTGTCAGTTAAGCGACCTCTTTTCTAAGAACGGAGCCTTTTTAAATTAGTAAACCAAATGATCGTTTCAGTAAATATTGTTAACAATTTTCATTGAAATGTAAAGCTAAACCTTTTTGTTAGGCTCTGACATTGTATTTTGTTGGAAAATATTCAACAATTACCATCATTTGTAGACCACAGTGCACGGAGAAAAATGTGAAAAGGTGGATAAGCAAAAGATGGCGTTGAAATATTGTGAGACCAGCTGAAGCCTTCCGCTTGAAATAAGCACCTACCTCTATTGGGTTATGCAAAATGATTGGATCCGCGTACTTGCAATTCAGTTCTAGGGTTCTTTCTTAGATGGCCCCCAATTGGAAAGACTTGCTTAGACCGCTTGTAAAAAAAAATGTGTTTAAAATTTAATTAAAACATTTTCAAAGCAACTTTCTCGACTTTGCCGTTCGTCTTGTGTGTTGAGACTTGGCAGGGAGGCCAAGGAAAGTCAAAAGAATAGCAAAACTTAGCATAATCATGCCACCCAAAAACACCAACCAACCAAAGTACGCACTCCACTCACTCCACGCATTCCGAAATCGTTGGCAAAACCAACTGAAGAATTTTGCGCACTTTTATAAAATAGTTTTTAATTTGCAAACCACTAAAAAGTTTTGCGTGTTGCTCTTTAAAATAGTTTTCTCGTAGCCCGTCCTCCTCCTCCTGCTCCTGGTACTGCTGCTGTTGTGGCTGTTGGGGAGCAAGCGCCTGCATAGGGTTGCCACCATACCCCAACCATACAAAAACACATGCGCGCTCCACAAAAGAATGTTTGCATTTTATTTGCTGCTGAACATTTTGCTCGAAAACCAAAATGTGTAAACTGCATAAATGTGCAATTTTATTTTTATGGTGCAAAAACTTTATATACATAAATGCACACATGTGTTTTAAAAATAAAATCTTTTACCGTAAAATTGTGCATATCGATACAAAAAAGTTGTATATTTAAAACATAATAAGTATGTTTAAATACTAGTATTATTTCTCCACCACAATATGCAATTAAAATGTGTTTGAATTGAGGCTAACTTTTTATACAAATATTCGATAGAAGTTTAATTGTGAATTTTAAAAAATAGTTCTTCAGCAGACCACCTAAGTGACGACAAGAACAAAATTGTTACACATATTGATCAGAAATTCAAATTATCGTATACATATGTATTAATAAATCTGCTGCAGACTTCATGTTTGGTTTAGCAGTTCTGGCTTTAACATTTTTCTTATTCGTAAAATAACACTATTCTAGTTACTGGAAACACCCTTTCCCTTTACTGGTCTTAAGGACATATAAGTCTTTAATTAATAAAAAAAATAATAAAAATATAGCTGTTTGTAATCACTTGTCGCAGCCTCTCTTTGATTGATTGATTTATAGTAGATTGAAGAAAATTCAAGTTCCAAAAATAGTTTTCAATATTAAATAGAAAATTACTTTCAAATACTCTGAGTATCAATCAGGCTGGCTATATCTCTGATTCAAAAACCTGCTATTGTACTATGTAATTGAACTGCCTAATCCTTGATTTTACAGCATTTTTAAGACTATTTTAATATAGTTTTTAATTAATTTCTATTTTTGCAACACACATTACTTATGCTATGGAAAAATACTTTGATACTACACTGTTTATAGATAATAACTCTGATCTGTGATCTATTATTGAGATAGAACACTGCAATCCGTCTTGTCTCTATATATAGCTATATAAAAACTTGTATTTCCTGATCAGTTCAACACATACATACAAATTCGTACAAGTATATAGTATAAAAGAAAGTATACTTTTTTTAGCTCACACAGCCACCTTTGCTTTTCATTTCGTAGCATCAGTCAGTTGGTCCTAGACCGAATAGTATTTATAGTTCAGTTGTATTCGAATCCAGTACAGACACACATGAAGGGAGAGAAAATGTTTTTTTATTTTTTCTAAATAAACCCACAACTCGTTTGAGCAGACCTCGTTTTCGGTAAAAATTTCATAAATTTTGTTTCAACCGGTTTTTTAACCGTCCTGGAAAAGCAATCATGTTTGAGGCACGTCCCCACTGTCAAGGAAATCTTGTATGCCATTAAAGATTTGCTCAATGACGGGACTTTCGACCACATTAACTTGGGAATACAAGTAAGTAGAGCTGTAGACCCCGTATTAAGTCCTTCCCCATCAGAGTTAACGAATACGTCTCGACTACTTTGCAGCTGCTGGCCATGGACAAGTTCTGCTTCGTGTCTACCCATCCTGTTCATAGATAGTATCGACTAATCCCACTCTAGTCGGAGGCTCGTCATTGCCATGCGATTGAGGAACGTGACCAAGGTTCTAAAGTAGGCCAGTACCGGGAAATTGCAAGAGTAACGACAACTACAATAGTGTAGCGTTCAAGTTTTCTGAACAAAAGAAGGACTCGGCTCTTACGTCTCGATTGAGGACTCTTGGGCATATCGGAGACTGACTATTCGTGTGTTGTGCGCATGCAGGTCATAGAATTCGCATGCATCTGACGAGATTTGATGCAGCTCTACGGATCCTATAGCTTTTCCTTATTGGAAGGCAAACTCGCTGACTATGAAAGTTGACGAAGAAGAAAAGGCGGTCTTCTTTTAAGCACACCAGTCAGACGCGCTTACCTATACCAAAAGCTGCCCGAGAACCAAAAGCAATGCGTTCGTCATGTCCACGTCATGTCACGTCCAGACTACTTGTAGATGTAAATAAGGAATACCTTATCAGCAACACGGTTGCTTCCATACACACATTCCACGTTAAACATTTCCTTGGTCAATAAAAACAATTCAACGGAATTATGGATGAAAACGTATGATATTTCGTTAGGCACGATGGGTTGAAAGCCGTTCCCATCAAGCACTTCTGTCTTATTGTCATAATTTCTCATGTAGTGGAGGCAGTTTAGACAGACACCCTGATGAATGAAAACACAGCGATTGCTTTTTCACTTTGGTTTACACCATAAAAATAAATAAATAGACTTCAGAATAAAAACAATATTTGCTATTAATCAGCAACAAAATCGCATAATTAAAAATGTTTGAAATTTTCATGGAGCTTAAGGTCGCATGTTGTCCTTTTAAATGAAGCATCCAACTTTTGCAGTCCACCCTATCTTCCACCCTGTTTTTGGGCCACTGTTTCCAAGTTGCTTTAAATGCATTCCCACGGTCATTTAGGCAAACAATTTGAGTTTCTGATTTCAAAAGTGAAAGGCAAAACTCTTGTTAATCTAAAGTTTTCTCACACTGATATAAATGAAGAGGACGATTGACAGTTGACAAATTAAATAAATCTATTAATATTTCCTAAGATAATAATGTGCTCATAATTTGATTAATTTTTGTCACATCATTTAAAGACATTTTGCTTCTGAATTCTTAATTAAAGAGCCAAACAAAAATATACTTTTGAAGCTACTAATGAAATTGGCGCCAAGTTAATGAAGTACCCATTGAAGCCAATGAAACATTGAAAAAAAAAAATCGGATTCAAAAAAAGCAGAACATTTCGCATTGTTCTTTCCTTGGGTTTCATCCGCTTTCACAGTGAATGAACGGCGCCCACTTGCAGGCAAATGAAAAAAGGAAAACCGACTACGGACACCGGCATACACACACACATACACCCACACATATCCTGGCTCATTCGCGTACATGCATGTATTTGTGCGTTTGTGCGGGCCACCCCATCAGCTGTTTATGCTCGCATCCTGGGAAACAGCAACCAAATGGCTGCTGATTTTTCTGAACGCCTGTTCCTTCAGCTGCGTGTGTGTGCATGTCCGTGTCCGTAGACGCAACTCTGTGTATGTTTTTATGTTGGCGCCGACGACATCGTGTTTGTGTGGACCACCCACACACACGCACACACACACACACCCCATCCATCGCTTTCAGGACGCAAAATGTGCGCCGTGCTTGCCTCCAGAGCGAAAACACAAACATTAGACCAAAATTTGTTTTTTGTTTGCCATGAAATTTTTGGTTTCGCTTTTCGTGCAACTCTCTCTCTATTTTTCTGTCTTTGTCTTCGTCTCACTTGCGCTTCCTCCCCCTGGTGTCTGGCCTGGCCTGGAGTCGTCGTTGGGCTTGGCATGCAACACCCCCGTAGATTTCTAACATGGGGCGTCTTGCTGTATATGTAATTATTTGTGTATATATATACCCTGCAGCTATGGAAATTGTCAAAAAGTACCTTTTTCATTTTGTCAATCATTCAGTGCATTTTATAACGACGATCGCAGTTAAAAGTAGCGAATATTCTTTTGAGATCAAGATAAAATAATTGTATCTATTACAAATACCCAAGCTTAAAAAGGTTTTTCGGATTTCGTAATATACTTAATAATATAATGCTGTAGAATATATTAATATAATATATTAAGTATATATATATAATATATTAAGTGCACTTATGTTTTAGTTTTAATCTGTTTGAGGCTATATTTTAAACTCAAGAACAGATTAGTGTAAATATTTTTAAAGAATAATAATAATTTTTAAATTTCAAATAGCGGAATTAAATCCATTTCAGACATACAAATTGATGAAATACCTCAACGCCTGTCCCACTTTCCAACATACAAATATACACATACAAATGCGTAGATTTGATCATAATCCTATCAATTAACAGCTTAACCATTTGCAAATTTTTTGGCATCAGCCGTATTTATTTTGTTTTATGGTCAGTGAAGCATTATCTCAAATTTTAATATGAAGAGTGTTGGTTATTACCATTTTAAATTGAAAAATAGGTCGTAAAAATATTGATAAAATAAAACAAACTTTTAAATATATTAAAAAATAATATTAAAACTAAGGGTTAGCCTTGGAGTTTGAATTGTTTCAAGTTCTTTCTCAATTAAAACGCTTATCTGTTATTGCCAATTCTTTTCGTAAAAATAGTTTCTTATTGAATATTATAAGACGCAGAGCATTTCATCTGCGGCTTTGTTATTCGCAGTTGTGCCAGACAGACACTCATTGTTAGTAAAAAGCAAAAGTTCCCTGTCTGTCCGTCTCCAGTAGCTTCGGCTTCAATGGATTGCCGGCGCGTGTGTTGTTAGCTGATAAAAATTTCAGTTGTCTGTAACACTGGCCACCATCTTCGTGTAGTAAGGCGATAAGCTTATTTATGTAATAAATGCGCAATTTATGTCTCAATATTTCTTGGGCAGATGGGAGCGCCTGCTGTATTGGTAAGTGCATTTTCGCTTAATTTTCTCATACTTGTAATATCGTACGAAGTATACTTGTATTTTATACCCCATTTGAACAATATGAAAATGTGCGATGAATTCAAGTCTTACTTGAACTAAAGTTGGAACTTAAATGAGGAATGTTTGATAAAATCTTATCGTCTCTGAGTTCTTTTGCTGTCAATACAATATGTAAATTAGTATATCGAGAAGAGAAATATCATTCTGCTTTTCCTCTGCTGATCCATGATTATGACTTCAAGCTTTAAATTTTGAATTCATTTCATTCGTTCAGAATGTAAAGAAATGACACAAGCAATAGAAAACTCAACGTTAGAATCAAACTAATTTGCATTTTTGTTGCAAATAGAAAAGGCAAACAGCAGGACGTCAACGGCCATGGACAGTTGCCAGTCGCAGTTTGCCGCAGGATTCTGAACAGTTACAAAAACAACCAAAAATAATAATACAAGTCAGCCATGTGAAAGCGATAGGGTGAGACAGGATTCACTGAAACCTAACAGCCTCCTGCTCTATTTGTTATTTTTTTTTTGTCAAAAATCAAATAAACACTTTATTTTCACCAGTATTTTAACATTTCATTAACCTTCTTTTAAGGACATGCGTTGATTCATCGCAATGCGACTAAAGACAATCTTTAAAACAGTGTTAAAAATTAAGAAATAATAAAGATATGAGTGTTTGAAAGCGAAATCAAACAAAAGAAAATTAATTTGAGATGATTTGTAAAATGATGTAAATGATTATAAAAAATATTTCTATGCACTTAAAATTATTATTATACTTTAAAGCTTGGTTTACTTTTGAATAAACTATTAGATGCCAGTAATATGCCAATCACGATAGTACATATATTAGAAACTAATATTGTTATCAAATATTTAATTTACTTGTATATAATTATATTTTCTGTTTAAGTCAATATTAGAAACAGGTTGGTGGTTAACCAAAAAAACCAAATCTACGAACTTGTTCTTTGTATGTACTTGTTCCAAATTAGTTCGATCTAAGTTTGGTGTAATGGCTTGAAAAGTTCTGCCACGCCTCCTATTACATTAAGTCAATATTAGAAACAGGTTGGTGGTTAACCAAAAAAACCAAATCTACGAACTTGTTCTTTGTATGTACTTGTTCCAAATTAGTTCGATCTAAGTTTGGTGTAATGGCTTGAAAAGTTCTGCCACGCCTCTTATTACATTCCGTCTTTTTAATAACCCTTTGGGTACAGGACATTAATACGCTCTACAGTTGGTTCATTAATATTGGACCACCCTAGTGGCTATTCGTGGGCAGCTCCATTAACAGAAAAAAAACTGCCCTCCTACTCAATGAATACCAGCCATATGCTCAACTGCATGAACATATGCAAGCATACATACTTGTATGTATGTATGTATACCCATGGCTATATATGTATGTATGTACATAGCATATACATATGTATGTTGTATGTATGTATGCGTTTATAAGGTCTCGACATGGGAGCTTGGTCACCCCTTTACAGGTGCGCTCACCATTCTCTACGTGGCAGCCGCAGGCCCACCGCTACCACCTCCAGGCCCACCGTTTACATTTTGTTTGCGCTCTGCTTTGTTTTTTATGCAAGCCAAGTTTTTTACGGCATTCAGAAAGGACGAGAAGAAAAGCCAACGTTGGCAAAATGCGAGCCATGACACACGCTTATTTTCATTCTCGAGCAAATTGCGCGCCATTCGTGCAACACGTCCAATCTGAAAAGAGCGCCATGTTGATGTTGGCGACTTGCCACACACACAAACACATACGCATATATATGAGCATAGACAAAAAAAAAACCGATTCAAAACGATGGCGGGAAGTGAAAGCAAATATAAAAAAAAGTTGTTGAATAAAGGAAATGCAAACTCCGCAGCGAGTTGAGCGGGATGTGCACATAATGTATAACGTATGTATGTATGTATGTATGTATGGTTGTAGTATATATGTATGTATGTATGGATAATTTAAACACGCAGCTTAATGATGAAACGTCGCCTGCAACTATTTACATTGACATATTGAAAGGCGTGGAATGAGCAAAGCAACGCAACAAAAGCAAACACGCACAATAAAAACAGCTCACAAACCAAATTCAAATATAATACACTAACAAAAGAAGGCGTTGAGGAGTTGTCATTGTCGTTATTGTTGTTGCCTTTGTTATTGTTGTCTGCGCTGCACGCTTTGAAAGTGTGAAAAGTCGTGAGAGAGGATTGAGGGGGGGTTGGGTCTCAATAGCCTGCAACCACACTGTGTGGCAGCTCTCGGCTTGATTACCTTTTTATGCTCGACTTGGCGGCGTCTTCTATGCGCCTCGACAAAGTTTAGTGGAAAACACTTGTAGTTCTGTGCCTGGCATTTGAATGGATTTTCTACAAATTGCGATAAGACCTCAGGACTCTCGACTCGATGCTCTTTGTCTGTTTGTCTGACTAACTGTACTACTTCTACCATACTATAGACTGTCTCTCGCTGTTTATAAACTTCAAACTGACATAGATAATATTATATAGGTACAATACTTGTATACTTGTATACATATGTACAAGTATGTAGAACAATAGGGGCTTGTTTTGAAAGGAAAACTCAATCACTCCACTGGGCTGTCAAAGAAATTATACAACTCACTTTTCCTTTTGTTCAACATGCTTGCATGCTTTCAACAAACTTTTATTTGTTTTCTCTTTTGATGCTTTTGCATGTATTGTCCCTAAGCCCTCAAATTGAGCAGTTTGGCCGAACATTTGATTTATTCGTTTAGCTCGATAGTTCATCAAGTTACTCCTTTTATATAGCAGTAAACGCTTAAAAGGATTCGTTTAGAAGACAAATTTTCCAACTACCCAACAGTCAATTGAGAGAATTGGGTGTATTTTAAAACTTTTCTTTTATACTGTAATTATCAAAAAATTGTGAATGGGAAAGTTAATCTTGCACAGCTTACATATCGATTCTCTTAATTTTGTGGTTTATACATTTTTGCTTATTTTGCTTCAATACTGCATTTATTAAATCAATTTATTCATTTAAAGGTTGTACCATTCAGGAAATATTTCAATCTGAAAAAATTTCAATTTTAAAATCGTTTAGAGAGCTTTTGGTTAAAAATAAATTATATAGAACAAATAATATTAAAACTCGCTAGCCCAAAAATGAAACGAAATCAATTTATAAAAGAAAATAAAGAAAGAATTTAGGCGTATCAATTTAAAAAAATATTTAAAAACAAATCAACCTAAAAAAAAACATGTAATAGAGTGGAGCTGACTTCACTTTTGTCATCTAGACTACATATTATAGGAGTTCGTCTCCACTAAAATGTTTCATTTGAGTGTTTGTTAAGTTAAATGATCAAATTAAATTGAAGCGTGTTCAAAAAAAACATAATATCGGGTTAATATCGCTATATATACATTAGTTTTAACAGAAATATGTCAAAGGACCACTAAAAATCTCGACGAGTCTTTGAAGAAATCAGCCTTACCTTTAAAATAAACCTTTTTGATGACAAAATTAAAAACTCTGCGCAAATGTATGTAACATACAAAAGCAAGTGCGGCAGATCTTAGTATTAGAGCTAGAATAACCAAGCTAAGTATTCTCCTAGGTCAGAGGAAGTAAAACTAAGTCTATTTTTCTGATGTACCCCCCACTCCATCATTCAAGAGTTAGACCAGCTAGACATTCCATTCCCGTTTTATCATAGCTGATCACACCATTTGATTAATCTGTGATTATGGGCTAGGGCGCAACATTTCCTATAAATGAGCAGAACAAAGGAGATTAAATTATACAGAATTGTAGTACTCAATCAGTAACTATAACTCTCAAAATAAAATATGTCTTCTAAATTTATCTTTTTATTTTATGCATAAGGCAAAAGTTTGAGCTAAATAATCCAATAGTATAGGCTTACTTTTTTAATGTAAAATTCAAAACCGTTGAGGCAAAATCTTCAAAAGTGTCTTTGAAACTTTGTCTCTTTTAAATGTACTCTAGTTTTCCGTTTATACTTGAAATTGATTATCTCATACCTGTATTGCGAGACCAAAAACACACCCCAAAATTGCACACCACCAACAACAGGAGTGCTTCCTCCAACTCCCTTGCAATATGAGACACCCGTTAGCTTCTCAGTCAAGGCTGCTTGATGCACTTACCAATGCCAGACGATTAAAATTTATATCCGTAATAGAATCCACTTGTAATGAATGTATTACTTGTATTTGTATATTGTTGCCACAATTCTCAGAACATTCTCAATAGCTGAAGTCTCCAAGGCAGACAATGGTAAGGACTTGTTCACTTTGCCGAGACTGTTTTGAGCGAATTTCAATTTTGACAATTTTCAAGTGACCCTTGACCGCGTAGGACACACAACACAGCACTCATAAACAATATGGCCCGGCGATTCGATGGCGCCAACAAGCGGAAGAAGGAGCTAGGAGCTAGCGATGAATCAAAGTCTAGCACTTTACGCACAAAAGACGCGTCGACGCGTCGAGGTTTCGAATGATTTCGGCACGTTTGAACGAGCTTCAGTAAATTTCAGATACCGTGCGATTACCACACTTGAACAACGACGCCAACACACTGAATAAGCGCGCGCCAAACACAAATCCTGCAACCAAAACGCAAGCAAGCACGAGTAAAGCACGAGACACGAAGGACATCGTCTGCATGTCCTGCGATGTCAACAGTATTGTGCCGGCGAAAAGCGAAAGGCGCAGGCGAGACTGGACGTGAAATGTGCGCATAGAGAGCGGAGCGCGAAGAGTTCAAGAGCGAGTGAGGGTGAAGAGCGTAGCTGGTGGTTGTTTATATGGAATGGTGGAGGCGGCGGCAGCCGAGTCGGAAGCAGTCAGTGGCTGCACCCAGAGGGTGGTTTGGGTGGTTGCGGCGCCGTCTGTTGCAAGTTTTAATTCAGAAATCGAGCATAAGGGTGGCTAACTGCCGGCTACGATAAAGTGTCTGTTGATGGCTGTTGGTGGAGGGGGTGCTGGTAAACACTGACGGGAATAGTGTTGGGCAACAATGAATTAATTAATATTACTGGCTCTTTACACCAAAAGAAATTAGAAATTAGATTATCGCTATATTTACATGAAGCTCTAAAATCTGCAAGTTATAACAGTTTTATAATTAACAATAAGGTAATTCAGAAGCCGGGGATTTAAAATCGTTTTCTGCTTTAATTTCAAGTTACAAGTTTGTCAGTTTCTAAATAGAGAATTAATAATCTTTTTATTAAATTCAAAAGAAAAGTTTTGCCGTATTGTTGAAAATTAATTATGTTATTGTTTCTTGTCCTAACCTCTCATGATGGGTATTCTGTATTTATTTACAATACCGATCGGCTTTCATTTTACTTCGTCTATCGAGCAACGTCTCATGCAGCAACCCTTTTTCCTTAGCTTCCTCCAATTCCTTAACATCGTTTTGATTGATGCGCATTTTTTTGTCCTGGAACTTTTGAAACTTTTTGCTAAAATATAGAAAGTAGAAATGCATTTAGAAATTGTTTGTATAAGATTATGACTCGTTGCACATACACATAATTCTTCTCCACTTCCGCCAAATCACCCTTCTCTTCTTTAGGCTCTTCGTCCACCACGACATCATTGGCGGCATTGCTGCGCACACGACAAATTTCATGTTCTCCCACCTTCTTCCGCAAAGCCACACAAGCATCATCTTCTGGATCAATGGACATAAAGTGGCCGGTCTCCGAAAGCAGTGCCATTTGCCCATTCTAAAAGTACTTTAGTTTAAATTTGCCATTTTCAAGGCGTTTTTAATCACGCTTACCTCAAACACCGGCTCCCACTGTTCCATGCTGCCCACCGCCTCCGAACGTCCCGTCACCATTCCATCCTTTTCTATTTTCAAGTATTTTCCGTAGCCCGACTTGAAAGATACTTTGCGATCGTTTATGGGAAATGCCGTAAAGATCTCCTCTGGATCTGGGCTTTCACCTGCCGCATGTGGCGCTCCAACAGTGAAGAGACCATTGTCCAGTGCCTTTAGATAAGAATGCTCACCAAACTCAATGGCAACTGTTCCAGTTATTTCACTTGTTAATTTAACAGTCCACCAGCCGCCGTGTGCGACAGCATCCTCGTCCACCTGCAACTTCTGCTTTTTTCCATCGCCCTCTTCGTTGCGCTCCTTCTCCTTCTTGCGCTTCTTACTTTTTCTGTAAACAATTCATTTGAGTACATATTTCTTATGGCATTACAGCTTTTTACTCACTTGTGTTTTTCTCCTTTAAGCACCAATTTCTTTATGCGCACATTGTCATAATCCGACATTACCAAAATTGCTGAATTGATTCACAAAACAATAAACAAGCGTACATCCATACGAATGTACATGTGTGTATTGTTGTATCAGCACTATTGATATCGATGTGTTACTTATCGATAGAATTAAATATTTGTTTCCCATCGACAGAAAACATCTGTTTAAGCTCGCACCGCGTGGTACTCTGTTCTCGTTTTGTTATTCAAATAACTTAAATATGAGTGACGATGAGGAGCAGTACAATCCCAGATCGCACAGAAAACTTCTCCAGGCCATCAGTAACCTGGGAAGCGTGCAGCACATACGAAAATCCACACGCGATGAGCTGCAGCCTCAACAAGATGAGTTTGCCTTGCTGAAGAGCATCAAGGTACCGGCTGCATCCGATGGCGGTGACTACACGCCCAAGGCTGTTGGTCTTAATGATTTGGTGCAGATATTGCGGACCTCCAAGCACGTTGAGACGGGGAAAAAGCTAAAAAACGTGCAAAGCACAAAGAAGGTTCTGGCGAAACCACTAGAGAAACCGGTAGCTGATCGCATAAAACGCTCCATTGGCTATGAGGGAGTAAAGAAGAAGCTTGCGCGCTGGGATGCGGTCGTGGCTAAACAGCGATCAGCAGAGACGCAGGTATGTAGAGGGAAAGTGCCACCAAATATGTAAATAAAACCAATTATTTACAGATATTTCCTTTGCCTTCGGACACGATATACATAAACACTTCTGGCAATGCGAGAGTTCCAAAGAGGTGTATCAAGTCTGATTTGGCGAAGGAACTGGAGGCTAGCGATATGAAACTACGGACTCTGCGCAGGGAACAAATTGGTGATACAGTGGATGAAGACGTTTATGCGCAACGCGAAAAGGAACAACTAGAAAAGAAATTGACTCGCAAGGAGCTTAATGCGCGACGTAAGGAGCTGGCATATTTAAAGATGCGTGAATCACAAAAGTCTGCCAAGGCACGCATGCAAAACAAAATTAAGTCTAAGAAATATCACAAACTGCTGAAACGCCAGAAAATGTTAGAACAGGTAAAGGAATTCGAACTGCTGCAAAAGACCAATCCCGAGGCAGCCTTGGAAAAACTGAATGAACTTGAGAAAAGCCGTGTACTGGAACGAGCCAGCTTGAGGCATAAAAACACCGGAACCTGGGCCAAGAATTTGCAGGTGCGAGCCAAATACGATAAGGATGTACGCAAAGACTTGGCAGAGCAGCTAGCTGTGAGTCGACAACTAACTGGCAAGAGGGAAGAAGTGGAAAGCGATGAGGAGCAGCAAGAAGGAAAACCTTCTGCCCACAGCAACGAAAATGACTATGATCCCTTTAATCCTTGGACAAAGGTCAACGCAACGGTTCAAGCCGATACTCCAAATAATGATACTGATGAACCAAGCTGGCGTAAATATTGGTCCACGCGCAATAAAAATGAAAAGTTACTAGCAGAGCACCGTGGCGAAATAGAAGCCCTAATGAAGGAGAATCCAGAAAAGCAAGAAGAAAAACCAGTGAAACAAAAAAATCCAAAAAATCGTGTGGAAGAAGTAGAAAGCAATGAGGAGCAGCAAGAAGGAAAACCTTCTGCCCACAGCAACGATAATGAGGACTATGATCCCTTTAATCCTTGGAAAAAGGCCAACGCAAGGGTTCAAGCCGATACTCCAAATAATGATACTGATGAACCAAGCTTGCGTAAATATTGGTCCACGCGCAATAAAAATGAAAAGTTACCAGCAGAGCATCGTGTCGAAGTAGAAGCCCTAATGAAGAAGAATCCAGAAAAGCAAGAAGAAAAACCAGTGAAAGAAAAAAATAAAAAAAAACGTGTGGAAATAAAGAATAAGTCAGATGCACGGTCCAGTGCATCCAAACAAAATGTGGCCAAGAAGAAGGATCCTAAAAAGCCGAGCACTGTTATAAAAAACGGTTGGGTTGTTGAAAAAGTCGTAGAGGAATCCGAGTTAGGAAATGGCGTTGATAAAAGCAAAACCATAGAAGATATATTCGATGAACAGGAAGATAAACAACGAGAAAGGCTGACCAAGAAGCTCCAAAAGATAACAGGTAGGGTAAAGCAACTGAAAACGAAAAAAGTCAAAGTCAAGAAACCTAGAAAACAAAAAGATGAATTGAAGAACTTAAATGATTTGATGTTTAAGAACACACGGGAACGTCCAGTCATTGACGAAGAGCTCAATTATGAAGATAAAAGCGAGGAGCAGACAACTGTACCGACATTGGCTAATGTGGAAGCGTTTGAAAAAACGGAGGAGGTACCAAAAACTACTACCACGCCAGCCGTGGACAGCATTGATCCCAACCAAGTTGCCACCATTACATTCAATCAAATATCCCGACCTTCCAACGTGATGAACGATGCTCTCGGCGATGAAGAAGCTGACTTTGAGGATGATCTAGATATGGACGCGGAGCGACAGTTGACCATAAGCCAAGCCTTTGAGGATGATGACATAGTAGCCGATTTCAACAAAGATAAGACCAACGATGCTGAGGTAAAGGACACAGAAATACAGCTTTCAATGCCAGGCTGGGGCTCCTGGGCAGGCCCTGGCATATCACAGGATGCGACCAAGAAGCGTAATAAACGGCTCATACTCAAATTGGCAGAGCCAGAGAAACGACGTGATGAGAACAAGAACAACGTTTACATTAATGAAAACACTAATAAACATACTCGGGACCACAAAGTCTCCAACATACCGTTCCCGTTTAAATCTCTGGCGGATTATGAGGCCAGCATACGTGCGCCCATCGGCCGGAATTTTGTGCCTGAGACTGCATTTCGAATGCTAACGCGCCCGGCTGTCATTACGCGCAAGGGCGCCATCATCGAGCCTATGAATGAGACCGAGCTGGTCAAGCCGGATCGACGCTTGAGGCATGTCGTCGATAGGCGTATCAAACGCATGGAAGACGGGAAGAAAGTAAAGAAAATGTGAACTATAAATTAATGACCTTAATAAATGTGAAATGAACTTAATTAGTTGTTTATGTAATACATAAAATTTTAAATCGTAACGAGAAGCAATTTCGATTTATATTTTTAGGAGCAAATAGATAGTTAAAAGATCTTTATATTTTTGCGTTCCTGTATGTTTAATATTTAAAATTACTTCGCAAATTGTCTATGTATATTAACGTACTTTTTGAAGAAATTCGATTCCTTTTTATTGGCCGCAAAATCCAATGTTTGGAAGACAGTTCTTTCGCACCTTCCTTCGCCTTTGTCTTTTATCAAGTCGTCATTATAACCTGTACCCAAAGGGTAAAAGGCTATATTAGTTTTGTGCGAATGTATGTAGCACACAGAAGGAGGCGTGGCAGACCTCACAAAGTATATATATTATTGATCAGGATGACAAAAAGATTCGATATAGCCATGTCCCTTTGTCTGTATTGACTTATTTCTGTACTGCATACAAGCACGCATAGACACGATTCTGATACAAATGTGGACTGTTGAAATTGTACATAAACACTATGTGTGTATGCATGTATTGAATATTTTATTTAATTACATTTGTTTAGTTAATTTTTTTTTTTTGGGTGGTACTTTAGCATTCCTTTCTTATTTTTATAATTATTTTTTATTGCTTGAAATGTTCGAGGTTTTTAAACTTTTTCGGAAGTGTCCCTTTGCGAAATTCAAATGGATATTAATACATATTTCATTTTCGCAGGTCTAAACGGGTACGGTCCACATATTTTTCTAGAAACTGCCAGAAAAGCGATCACAACTCTACAAATTTATTTTTAAACAGGTCATTAGGTATAATCGTAAATAAAAAACAAAAAAATTCTAACAGGATATCAAATATGGCCAACAGCAATGTGGATGATTTATTTTGTGGCTGTTAAATTCGACATTGCTTTATTCATACGCAAATTGTAGCTAAACGGTATAATATACGAATTTGCAAAGAAATTTCAAAGATTAAACATACAGAATAGCTATATATGTACATATTTTTATTAATTTTGTTAAATATTTGATTTAAGAAAACCTTTATGAAACATATTGTGGAAGTTGAATTTTTGTGACATATTTCATTTTGCAAACAATTAGTTGATTAGTTGTATGTACATACATTCCTTCAATTACCTATTTGGTATTATAATTTTTAAAGCAAAATTGCCTTTTATTTAACGTGTGCGATTTAAAATTTTGACCTATCTACATAGTACATTAATATTTTGGGCCCTTCTTACAATAAATTAATCTAAAACAAGGTGATCTTTTGACTTGATACATAGAACATCCACATGCATATTAGATTGCAAAAAAGGAGTAGAAACAAACTGGATATCACGAATTAAATAACTTTAAAAAAAATAGAGGGCAATCCATTTCAACTCAAATAAAAGAGGTATGTTCATTTAAGGGACCACCAGTGTATAACGACAGCTCTGTATCGTCACCATTTCCGATAAACCGCATTCAATATTTATCGATTTGATTTCCGCGGCCCCAACTGTATTCCCACATCTCTACAAAGAATCACATTTTTGCCCACTGGATAAATAGTTTTATTTCGATCTAGCTTTTGACACCTGCAATGTACGAGCTGAAAACTCTGCTGCCACAATTCGATATTAAATTGCCCAATTGTATGTATGAATTAAAGAATGTAAGCTTGGCGGCGAACACCGTGGCCAATAAAGCGAACGCGGCGGTGACGACATCGGGCGTAAGTAGACGACGGAAGTATGGCAATAATATTTTGCTAGTTGATTAGCTTCTAAGGCAACGAACCTTTCCATCTAAAATACAAATACATACATCATGTGTTATCAAAGGGCCAGCTAAAACAATGCAACGGCATCGGCAGCAGCAGCGGAGTCGGCGGCGGCAGCAAAACAAAATCGGCCACATGTGCACTTGATTTGGATATTTTAGGCCGGCAAATACAACAACTGCTAAAGGTTAACAAAAACACAAAAAAAAAACCACGACAAAAAGTACTTCATAAGAATTCTATTAATAAACACTAGCACAAGTTCATGTTCAGCCAAAACAAAAGCAACACTTTTACTAACACTTCGTTCTTGTTTTGCTTGCGTGCTGCCTGCGGTGCTTCGAACTAAATCACCCCAAAGAAAAAAATATGCTGAACGTGGGCGTACGCATCGATGTTGTCTGAATGTCTCCAACGTTTTTGCTTTCACGTGTTTTCTGTTACATTTTCAGGAAGATGATAGTGCGGCGGCTGTGGCACAACGTCAGGCAAAGGTGCTGCAACAACTGGAGGAGCTCAAGGCTCAAATGACCAAGATTCGTTCCAATTTGGGTCTGTGTGGCAAGACAGTGCAACATACGACAGCCTATCAGAATGGCGGATTGAGAGAGGTGGCTACCGATTAAATTTATAAAACTAACTTCTACAATAATGCAATTATTTAACAGGAACCGCTACACGACATTGTCATTAATGGCCATCCAAATTTCATACCCTATGCACTGTTGGCATTGAAAAATGCCTGGCGCAATCTGTTCACCATTGACGTCAAGACCTTTACACACTCAACTATGGCTGATATTGGACCAGCCGCTCGAGAATTCGAAGCCAACTTGGCCAAGCTGCCCATCAACGAGAGCAAACCCAAAATCAACGTTACACTTATATGGAAAAATTGTATGGGTTGCTGATCACTCCTTCCGTTTCCTTTGCTAAACATCGAATTTTTGTTCTTTTCCTAGGTGAGCACACAGAAATGATCAGTTCTCCCACGATGTATGTGCCCATCTATGGCGAAGTCAACATAATCCGCTACTTGGGCCGTGTTGGTCCTGCTGAGTATCGTTACGAGAGCTCGCCGCTGTGCAACGAGATAGATGCCGTGCTAGATATTTGCTATCAACTTTTGCGCTGCGCCACACACAAAAGCCAAGTGGCCATGGTCCGACTGCTGGACAGGCGGTTGCAACAGCAGCAGTACTTTGGCGGCGCTGAAATGTCTGTGGCCGACATTGGTGTTTATAGTTCGCTCATTCGCATGCCTGCCATTACGGATAAGGATTTGACACCCGCGCTGCTGGCGTGGCGCAAACGCGCCCGACTTATTACACAAATCTAAACAGCTTCAATAGATAATCGAATAAAATGCTAACAACATTTAATTGCTTTTACAATATTTTTGTTTACCGCCGCTAAGTTTCAAAAGGGCGACGGAACAATCCATTCATAAGCTCCGAAAACTTGTACAATTAATGTTTGTCAGATTTTAAAATGTCTTTTTTGCATAAACTGCATAAACAAAGTAGTCTGTTGACCAAGCTTTTACGTTTTTTTGCTGTAATAGGATTGGACGCAATCGTTTCGCTGCTTTTTAAAGTTTCTCTCTATGTTCTTAAGTAAGCATATCTTAAAACGGAGTTTTTGAGTTATCTTTGGAAAAATCTTTTCTATAACAGGTATTTCACCTGTTGAGCAAGGTTTTGACTAATTTTAAATGACTATTTGAGTCAGATCGGTCTGTATTGAATTGAAAGTATGAAATGTTATCTTGAAATCATGCACTCAGAGTATTGACACTACTTCAGAATCCAAATTCCAGGCTTAAAAACGAATAGCTAATTAGCCGTAGAGTTTTGATAAAAGTTACGAAGTATAAATTAAAGAGATCATCTTTTTAGTATAAAAATTTCAGTGAAACGGCGCACCATGGGAATAATGAAATCTACAATCCTAGATGGATTGATAATATGATAATGATCTACCTGCATCTGTTCTTTGAAATTGGAAAATAAAGTTTAACCAAATCAAGAAGGGGAGTTTAAAAATTAACTAAAATTCGGATATGTCAGGGATTTTATATCTGCATCTGCTCTTTGAAATGGGAAAAGAAGGTTTTATCAAAGCAAGAAGAGGATGTTAAAAATTAAGTAAAATGAGGAGAAAAATTAGTTTGCAACTGCGAATTAAATTGTGAAATGCCCTAATTATTCCATTTAGGTGCAGAACCTTTAGACTGGCATATGTCAGGGGTTTTCTAACTGCACCTTTTCTTTGAAATGGGAAAAGAAAGTTTAACCAAATGAAGAAGAGTTTAAAAATTAAGTAAAATGTAGAGACACAGTTTTTTGCAACTGCGAATTAAATTGTGAAATGCCCTAAATATTCAATTTAAATATAGAAATTCATAGAACAGATTCCCAAAATGAAGTTTAGAGAAACAGAACCTTTAGAATCGGATATGTCAGGGGTTTTCCAATTCTCTCTTTACTTTACATTCTTTTATTTGGCTCATTGATCTTTGTTGAAGTTTTATACAATGCAATCATTTTTATTGCAGTTGGTGTTTCTTTTATTTGTTGCACTTAAAAATTGCTTAATTGCTACGTTGCATATTTGCTTTTTTAACTTGAAATCCGTTGATTGTATATTTATCTTGTTTTTCCGTTTCTCTTCCATTCATTCTCCTTAGGATAGTAGCTTGAGTTGTTTACCTTCTCTTTAAAATCTGCAGCTGTAGCACTTTAGCAGTATATATGTATGTATGTATATATAAGGTGTGTGTTTGTATTTTTAAATAATAATTTTATGCCTAGTATATATATATATATATGTAGAATTATATATATATATGTTGAGTTTATTAAATGATAATGAACAGTTTGAGTGGGTGTCGTTTTAAGCCGCTCTTAAGAAACCCATGGATTAGTTCCTGAACTCTTACAATTGCTTTTACCGGTTTGTTGCACAAGCAGCTTGGAATCGACTAGTTTTTTGGGATTCGTTAACCCAAGAATGCCGCACCATGTGTGCCCCTTGCCGCCGGCCCACACTTACTGGCCTAAAAATGTTTAGCATTCTGTTTTGTTAATTTTTTTTTTTTTTGCGTTGCAGAACTTTTTTAATTAGCATAATCATAATAATGTTGAAGAAAATGAAAGACAAGCGCTTTGAATCGGCGCCACGTCGTTGCACACACGTTGCCATCTCCGACTCGGACGTTGCTAATGCTTATCCATTTAAATGCTACGCAGCCTATGCGCAGATGCTAGACATTATGTGGTCTCGCCCTTGCCGCTGTCGTCCGCGGACTCTGCGCTGGCATCGCCGGCTGCAGCGACACCGCCGACGGAGCCATTGTTGTTCCTGCACTTAGAATTAGAGGACGCGGCTGCTGCTGTTGTGGCACTGCCATTATTTTTGTTAAGAGACGTACTGTCTTCTTCATCTTCGTCCTCCTCCTCATCATCATCCTCGTCGAAATCATCATCGTCTGTGGGCAAATCATCTTCCGTCTCTAAATCAAAATCATCATCGTAGAAATTGGCATCCAGTCCAGACTCTGTGGTTGGCTTGCGTGCCGGCTTCAGACAATAGTCCTCTAGAGTCATTGGTACTACAATGCCCTCCCGTTTCGCTTCCGCATTGGCGGCCAGTGCCTGTTTGCGTATGATGTTCGGATACTCGTTGTCTATGCCCTGCAAAACAATAGAGATAGGTTAATTCAAAGGCTCGTAAATGTTTAAGACGTTGCTTCACTCACCTGTGAGTCCCGCCATCGGCGATACATGACCGACGCATCCACATTCGCCGGCGAGTATGTGTTCGGTTCATTTAGGAGAGAGATTACCGACAGCAGAATGGTGCGCACATTCTGTGTGGGATTCCAGCGTTCGCAGGGCAGCTCGCCGCTCTGTGGATCATCCACCGGCGGATGCAGTATAGATATGCACAGATCCCCATTCTCGTACACGTTCGGATGCCACACCTTAGTTAGGAAGCGTATGGAGGGCGGCGAATATGGATAGTCGTGTGGAAATTTCATGTGTGCCTTGAAGTAGCCGCCCTGGTAGAGTGTGTCGGGCGGCCCAAAAATTGCCACCTCCCACTCAAAGAGATTATCATCGTTGATTAGTTTGACGCGAAACCCCTCGACAGGCTCCTCCTGCAGCGACTTGTATTCCATGGCCAATGCACGGACCGCTGAGCTACTGGGTGCCGATGTCGTCGTCGTCGTCGTGGACCCGGAACTACTACTGCTGGCCATCATTGTCGATGATGCATGTTGCGATGTGGATGCAGCGGTTGTCATTTGTACACCCAGCAGTTGACGGCGTGTTCTGTTATTCAAAGACATGATGTGGAAGATGATGAGGCGGTTTACAGAGAGCTTTTCTATAATTAAGCAACAACTTTTATGCGTATGTATGCATATATGCGTATATACATATGTATATACAAATTCGCTATATGACAGGGTCAATAGTATCTGAATAGACGTGATGCGGTTGCTCTTGGGGCTTTAACGGTGGCAGCGGGCCTAACGGAGTGGCTCTCAAGGTGAGCGGCTACGCGTCACACTTCTTCAATGGTAAACGGAATGAGTGTGCGTGTGTCGCGCTTAATGGTTACAAACAGAACTTGAAAATTTTGTAAATTAGGCAAAAGACGAAAGGTGTGTTTATTTTTATTTCGTTTTGTGGGTTTTTAGTTTTTTTTTATATTTTATTTTTTGTATGATTACAAGAAAAAGACAACTCTGAAGCAACACAGACAACAAATAATAAATAACTATGCCTCTTTCTAAGGTTGTAAAATTTTGCACAGCCTGCTGAGACACATACTTGTTTTGTTTCTTGGCAAACGAGATTACAATAAATTTAGTTGACGTAAATACCGATATAAGTTATTGTTTTTTTTGGCTTGCAACAGCTCGACATAATTTTTTGACCTTTTTTATTAGCAATTGTGCGATAATATATCGTGAGGACGGCTCTTATCGATGTTTAGCACTTGCGACTCGACTCCGATAACTTACGCACTACAACCATGTACGGAAATGCCATCTGTCGCGCGTAAAATTGAGTGTTCAGTCGGGTGCGGTCCTTAATTGTTCATAACCACTGAAACGAAAAAATTAGTGTTTTAACCGCCCTTAGCAATAATGTATCATTTGCAGGTGATATCTTTTGGCGTGTTTTGTTTCTAGTTTGCTGTCAGGCCTTTTTCAAGTTTATTTTATATTTTTTCTCTAATTCGTTCTTACAGTTCCACTATTATTATCCATTATAGCTTCGTTTTTATTGAACCACTTCTGATATACATACATATGTTATTAGTGTTAACATTTCCAGACTTTATTAAATTCAATTTCAAAATATGAAATTTTAAAGGTAGATCATCCTAATGATTTCAAAACATGCGGGTGCACTAACTCAACGTAATTGTCGAATTTGAGTAAAACAGTTCAAAAATTACAGTAATTTTGGAAAATTATTTATACGGGGGGAGTGGGGATGCATAAGAAAATAAAAAACTCCATACAATTTTCTATGTGTGCTGTACTCCATATACTTTGAGGGTCTCCTGTTACCATTTTAACCTTCCACAAATTCTCATACTTGTCTATGTCTTAGAGGGATACTCCATTTTTTATTACACTCAATCTGATTTTGTTACACTTTTGTTAGAGTACTCGCTTATATCTAAAAATATTTATTGTGATTTTATAATAGGAGCAGGAAAAGAGAGTCCCTTTCCAATTAAAAAGTCATTTTTGGTAGAAATACTTATTTAAGATCTTATTTTAAGTCTGGATACATATGTATTAAATGTACCAAGGAGCTTGTCGATACATTTTGAAATTAACGCTTTGATACTCGTTGAATCTTATTTGGCATCGTCGATACTTGAATAGGTAGCGCTTATCCAGCGCTTCCAAACGTATGGACGCCACAGCTGCTGCGTGCAACCCTGGTACGACAACATTTCGATTGCGATAACATGATATACACAAGTTTCACTCTCGTGTCGAGGTGCAAGTCGTGCGTGCAGAAATGCTTAAATTTGATTAGAAAATACGAAACTAAAACATTTAATTAGGAAAATTCACTAACAAAACGACTTGTTATTATAAACACACATGCCAAAATGTTAAAACGCGTCGCGCAGATAACGCAGTAGTGTGTGAAAAGCAAAAGAGAAAAACGCAAACGCAGCACTAAAGAGAAGCAGCAAAAAGTGCATACAATACAGGAGTGGCTGCTGCTGGCACGCAGGCAGGGCAGAGCACATATAATAAAAAATTGAATTAAATCAACAAATTTCCAAATGAAATTGAGTAAATTGAAGTTGCTATTGTGTTGTCAAAGGTTCAATTAATGTTTTTGTAATGCGAGAAAATTCAAGTAACGAGAAAACTGTGCACTAACGAAAAGCAAAAAAACAACGCCCAAACAAATTATCAAGAATACGCAAAGTTCAATTAAAAGGAGCAACAACAACAACCGCCAAAGAAACAGCAGCAAAGATAAGTGCACAGACAAACAACAACAACGACATCGAGAACAACAGCAAAAACGACAGCAAGAGGAAGAAAAAGTCACACATTCCAGTGAAAGTAAGGGAACAAATATGTTTTTGACCAAAACATGAAACCATAAATTTGTGTTTGAGGAAGAGCAAGCCACATTTTTCTGCGAATTACGCCCGAAATAAAAGCGCACACACGCGTACATACGCATACTCAGACAGCCAGCAACACGCCTACCTACACCCACACACTTGCATACGTACACGCACACAGAGAAGCAGGCAGACAGGCCGAAGCACGCCCAAACCATCACAATGTCCAGCTGGGCTGAGCGCGTGCATCGACGTGCCGCCGATCTTGGCAATGTGGTCACATCCTGCGGCCATCCTGGCCCATCTGCTCCCGCCTATCCCTACCGCCTTGAGAAGGTTAAATTCGGTGTGCCACTAGAAGAGGTGTGCAAGAGCAACAATAACATTCCAGGCCCGCTGCTGGTGCTAATACTCAAGTTGAACAAGGAGTCGCCTAGTCGTCGGGATGTTTTCCGTGCCCCCGGCCATCAGGGTGCCATGAAAAAGCTGATACACTTCCTTCAGGCCGGCCGACTGGTCAATGTGGACAACTTTTCTGTTTACACAATTGCCAGTGTGCTGAAGAAGTTCCTCCGCAAGATACCCAATGGCATTTTTGGGCGCAATGGCGAGATGGAGTTGTTTGCCATTAACGAGTTGCTGAACGAAGCCGAACAGACGGAACGCTTGCACAGGTGAGTGAATCGTCGTCTACTGGTTACATGCACATAAATACGTACATCTATGCATACATATGTATGTATGCATGTACTTACATACATACATATGTATATGTATGTAGGTATTGTAAGATTGAAGCTTGCGGTAAACTTGCTGAACCGGATCTAGATTTGGTTGCAGCGCAAGAATCTTTGCTATACACACACACACATACACATGCACGCACACATCTTTATGTGTACACATACACATATGTGGTACTTGGGGTGGGGGCTTAGGGGGGGCGTTGTTGCTTCTTTCACAGCAGTTATCTGCGATTTTTCAGAAATTAAGTGAAAAGCGTCGAGTTGTCATTCGAGTGTATGAATAGTATGTATGTATGCATGTTTCTTTTTGTTGCTTTTCACGCCTTTTTGGCTCATTCAGCACTGGCACTGGCACTTGTTGACATATTTGCCAGCTTGCCTCGCAGATTTTCACCAATTTTCACTTGGGCGTTAAATGCGACATGCATATAAATCTCCGAATTGCAAACAACAACAACAACAACAACTTGTTCAATGCAGGCGGTCAATTGATGCCGCGCTGTTGTTGTGTGTAAATTTCACTTTCATTTGTTTGCTTTCTGACTCAATTACGTTGATTTAAGTGGCAATGCAGAAGGCAAATTGCCAAAGGAAGTGCAGTCGCCCCCAATCTCGATAAAGAGGCACGCGCTGCCTCACCAATAATTTATTTCTTTGATTTGTTGCGCTTGATGCGTTGTTGCTGCAATCGATTTCTAGCAAACTGAATTAGAGCATAAAGCGTGAGCAGAAGTAAGCGGCAACAACAGCAACAAACACCAAAACGCACGCATACTCAATTAAAACTTAACGAAAAGTAATTGTATTGCATTGCAATGCTTAATTCCCCGTCAAACATTGCAACAAGTAAAAGTAAAATTTTTTAGCTGCAGTGGCAGTTTCAACCAGTGTTGCCAATTTTAGGGCGTCAAAAAAGCTACATCACTACTTAAAACCAACTAGAAATAGCTAGATTATTATGTTCTCAGCAAAAAGACGATTTGGCAGCGTTAGCATGTCCAAAATCAATGTGAGCTCTCCAGCTCTGTAAATTCCGCTTTATTGGTGTTGCTTCAATCAGTTTCAAATTTATTCTGCGATGCAAAGCATATGTATTATTTAATGATATTGGGAACTATGTTATATCTTTAGAAACAAGGATTTTAAGAACTCGTTATCGAACATCATTCAATGGACTGTTTCATATAGTGGTCTGATCTTTTTGATGTTGTATCAGTGTTTCTCTACTATGGTTCCTTCGCGTCACTCCCGGTTTGTGCAGAGCTGGCGGTAAAATAGCTTAACTGCCAACACTGGTTGCATCTGCGTGCTTGAATGCGCTTATATATGCACTTTAATTAGCAATCGATACACTTAGACGCGTTTTATCGAGAAGGAAGCGTATCTGTTGCTGCGATTACTGTTGATAGACAAGAGAAGTGCGTCAGCAGTAGCCGCATCAGCAGCAGTCTGTTACATTAATGCTAATGTGCATGTAAACAAATAGCGTCAGCAATAAAACATAAATTTAAAATGCTACTACATGCGTAAAAATCGACCGCCAAATTATTTTCATATCAGGCGGCGTCAAAAGTAAATTTAAACTTTTGCTTACTGTAAACTTTTGCTGCTGCTTCTGCCGTTGCTGCTGGCTCTAAAGCAACACAATTATATGTACATTTATTGTTGTAATTGTTTATAAGCTGCTGTTGTTGGTTTTGTTGTTGCCTCTGCCGCCTATCATTGTTTATTTACTTTGTAGGGCAGCTGCCGTGCAACAACAACTACAAGAAGATCAACAGCATCAGCGGCATTGGGTAATCAAATTGGTAACCAAGTCCAAATCAAAATCAAACAAATGTGCGAAAATAGCGCCTGCTGCCGAAACTTTTATAAATAGACAGACAGACGCGCACGCATTTAAAACTTTGTATCAATTAACGTGAAAAGGCAACCAAGCAACAGCAACAACAACAACAACAGCACTCAATCAATTGGCACATCGTTTAGCGTTTGCTGTTGCTATTTGCTGCTGTGTGTTGTTGCGGCAGACCGCAAACGGCCGACCGCCAGCAGCAACGTCATCGTTGCACGTTTTTGCAATACCCAAAATATATAACGAAATATGAATTTGTTTGTAAATTACACGCTACAGCAATATAAACACAAACAAAACACGCAGCAGCTGTCCACCAATCGTTTGCGTATGCACAGCGACCTTTTCTCTCAATTGGTTGCTCTTCCTAATTCGCTCTCTCGCTGCTCCTGTGCGCAACTTGTTGCCCGATGGCCCCAAGCTTTTAAGCTCCCTGTTGCTGTTCGCAGCTGCTGCCTGTCTGTGGGGAAACTGTTGTTGTTGTTGTATTTGGTTGTCTAAGCTTTTTTATGCCCACTGTCAACTGCCGCCTGTTGCTGCTGTTTATGTGTATTTGTATTCTCATTCTCTAAACACTAATGGTTCAAATGGTTGGATTATTATGAATGCCTGCATACTGTGCGACATGGACGGTTAGGGCGTGCTAGAGAACCTTTACAGAAGAACCATTGTAAGGAAGATGGATTTTAAACAAATAGTAGAGTAAGAATCTATTTTATTCTTAAGGTAGAAGCGATGGTCGAGTACCCTAACCCTTAACTAACTAATTCCTGTGGGTTCTACTATTTTTCTTAGTAGAGGATATAATTTTTCTTAATTTATTTTAATTCATCAACTAGTTAAGTCTTTGGATATTACTGCGAGTGCATTCCGGGGGCGGAATGTGTACCTGTTTTTCTTCTTTTCGTTTCTTCTAATGTCCGACTATTAACAGTCGATATAATTTCCCTTTTTTAATTTAAAACATCATTCGCTGAAACCAGTCGCGTAAATATTGTATAAAGCGCATATTTCTTCATATGATCGATCCTCTACTTAGAAATATTTACCTATCCGCCCTCTCCTTGGCAAAAAAATTAAGCTATAAAGCAGTAATCAAGTAATATGTCGAAAGCTGTGGATTGCATCAGTCTGTCATAAAAGTATAGTATAGGCGTTGTAAAATGCTCTTTAAAATCTTTTATGTTTTTAAAGATATGCGCACATCATTTTTTATTTCGAAGTCATAACAATGTTCACGCTTTTGGCAGACATTATGGTATGTACGAATAATATCTGAAAGGGTGTAAATTATTCGCGGCATTCACGATTGGGCTTTTCATATTTTTTTTATAAATACATTTTTTTATCTCTGGCTGCCATATTGCCAGCTGCCTCGGCTTGTCACATTATTTACGCACTCTGCAAACCAAATGGGCTATTTACACAATTGCTTGGCCTGTCTCATTGCAACAACTACAACAACATGAACAATGACCAAATCAATTGCAAGGCAACTGCAACGAATACCGATAAGTGCAAAAAATAAAAAGGGAAGAAGAAATTTGCCAGCTATTGTTGCCGACTTACGCTCTCTGGGGTCTAGACAAATAAATGGCAACTGCAATGACCGGCGACGTCTGCTGACTACAAAGCCGCATTGTGAATGCATTACGAGCAGCAAGAACAAAAACAACAACAACACCATCATCGGTAGTTGCAACAACAGCATTAAGAAGAATAAACAGAAGAAATGGCTGACGCGACAGTAATTTCTTGCTTGCTTAGCCTATTGACGATATCGACAAATTATATTCGCTTCCTGATGCTAAAAAAAAAAAAATGGTCAAAAAGGGCTGACAACTGCTCCAACTCTCCCAAAATCGCAAAACTGCTGCCACCTCGGAGTGTTACTGCATAAATAAATAAGCTCGCTGCTGCCGCTGCCGCTGCTCATTGTAAACAATGCAAAACGAAACAAAATAAACAAATAAATTCGAGTACAATATGTATAAACATTCGACTATAATAAAAAAAAAGTGCGTCAGTAGCTCAGTTGCAGCTTAGGCTCGTTGCCTGCCTGTCTGTCTGCCTGCCTGCCTGCCCGCCTGTCCGATTTCTTCCCTCCGGGCCCAAGTCTTCCTCTTTGCACTTGGCATGTTGAAATGCTTTTTATTATTATTATTATTATCATCATCATTATCGTACCTTCTTCATTGTCTTTGTTGTGCCGCTAAAAAGAAGCTATAAAAAGCTGTGGTTTAAACTCTTCATTTGTTATTGTAGTTGTTTTTGTTGTTGCTTAAACGCCTCATTTCTGGCTACACATTAACAAAGCGCTCTCGGGGCTCGAGACTTGTTGCATGAGATGGGGCGTGCATACAACGGGCCTTAGCTCAAGAGATTTTCGCAATGCATTTCGATGTGCTGGCCTGGCCGATGATTGCAGCTGAAGTTAAAGATGTGAAAGATATGGCAGCTGTTGTAGTTGTTGGCTTCTCTACTCTCGTCTCGAACTGTGCTGATGAACAGCCATGAACTTTACGAGTAGAAGCACAGTACGCCGAAATCAGTGAATCAGACGTCCTAGACTGACTCTCTGGCAAGAAATATTGCGTTATTCATGCTTAGGTTTCTTGCATTTGTGTTTCCATACATACTTATTACTACTTGTATGTGATGTGTACGCCCATCTGAGTGATATGGAAAATGAGTAAGAACCAAGCGACCCATTTACACCGCAGTATGGATTGTGGATTGTTTACTCTCGGTTTCTAAAGATAAGTTATTTTTCAGTGAATATTACAGAAGTGGATATAATGTAACATCTTTTCAGAAGTACACATATGATAATTATATATTTTCATCTTTTCGCAAGAAATGGAAACTATTCTTTATCAGCTGTTGTTACCAAGTTGTTGAGAATTTGCATTCATTTAAAATTGGACGTACGCGGCTCTGGAAAGACAGGGCTTCGCTCCTATGATCGACGAGATTGTGTTCTTTGGTTATTGCTAACTAAGCTGTTTTTAAGACAGCAGGGTCTGCAGATGCCTTTCAAAATGGCTCTTCAAATGGCTGAATGCTTGAGTCAATGATTTTAGTTTGGATGGGTATACATTGATCGGGAGTTCAATAAAAGACTGCTCTATAGATAAATTTAACCATGCAAAAGTATAGTTCGTAGCAAAAAAAGAGAAGATATTTATGATATCATCAGAATGTACATGGAGTCACTAAGATTAATGGACTGAGAAAATATGCCACTTTTTGCTTATCGTAATACATTGACCGAAAGACGATACCTTTCTGGTAGAATGCAGAATTCCCCAGACTTCAAACTATTGCTTTAAAGGAAGGGAAAAGCAGTTTAAGCCAATCTCTGGCTAAATTTTATCTTTTCTAACAGCTAATTAATGTCGATTATTTGAACAAACTTAACCGGTGTGGTCGAGTGCCCATGGAATTTTCGTATTTTTACTTAGATTCACATCTATTTTAATTAAGTTTAATTCTGATTGTTTAACAGTGCCAATTTGTCTAAACAATACCCCTATCGATATAGATCTATAGACAGAGACAATGCTTAAACTAAGTCCACGATCTAATCGTACACAATGAATAACCTCTTCAGGGGCAACGACAAAGTTTGGTTTCCTTATCTTATCGCCTTTTTTGCTTGAACAAGCCCAAAACGTATGTTCCGTAGCTTCTTCATGTAAGACCTAGGGAGGGGACTAAGTACTACACTACTAGTATAGGTACCAACTACATATATGTACTTGTATATGAATGGATTTGACCGCGGCGTCAAACACGACCTCCAAAGACTGTTCAAATTTGGTGATAGCTTATCAATAACTAATAATTTGCGCCTTTTGTTTACGTCTCAATTATGTTTACAAATTGTTTATTAATTATTAGAAATGCGGGTAGAGAAAAGTAAATAGAAACCGCAATTTTTACGTCTATTGATAACGCCGTTGAACGCTCTCGACCTCATGTGAGGCTCTTTTTCTATGAAAACGTTATGAGTAATCTCATGTATTTGTTGTTTTTAATTTAAATTGCCTACTCTGTTACTATATTTATGAGCTATTCGGTATTTGTTTCATATTATTCAAGAGTTACGTTTAGGGTGGGGGTGGGGTGAAGGTTGAAGTTTGTTAGTCGCTTATCGGCTGCCTTCGACAAAACAGTTTATTAACTTTCGTGCAACGGTAAGCCTTCGATCTTATACAATCGTATATTGGTGCGTTACGCATGCGTCGAACATTTTGTCTATACTTGTACATCTCATTTACATGAATGGTAGGAAATTAAGATCGAAAACCGGTCGTCGCATTTCCCCGAATCGATGCTAAATAGTTTAGCGTATGCTTGATGCGTGCATGTTTTTATAATTGTGGCCCCGTCATTTTATTTGATAGATGAATCATTTAGTGGCTGAGTGTATTGTATTATTGTATTTTTTCATTCATAAAACGAAATATGTCGGTCGGTCGGTTCGGATCGGATCGGTGGGGCCGGAACAGACAACGATTGCGTTGAGAGCATTATGCCTTTTGGCGCGCCGCATTTGTTGGATTGTGTTTAATTTTTGCATTCAGTTTTGTTGTCACTTAAATGTGTAACCATTTCTCATAATATTATCTGATAAATTGTGCTTACTACCACATACATATATAAATATATGTATGTACATGTGCATTGCATGCCCCTACAATTGTTATGGCGCATGTTTTGTTAATGATGAGCTGCGGCACAAAAGCGATTTAAACACTTTTGATATTAACACAATCGCAGCTCTTTGTGCGCTCGCCACTCGAATAAACCACAAAAGAATTTAAACCCACACACACACATTTAGTGGTGATCAGCGCAGTTTAAGAGTGCAATGAAGCTTTATATCTGATCATCAATTCTTGTCTTTTCCGCATAGAGCGAGTAAATTTTTTTTGCTTTTCGCAGTATGTATTCTATAAGTTGGATATTAAAAAAAAATATTTCTGGCATTATTTCTAAAATGTGAATTATTTCTATCCAGAGAAAAGATTTAGACAAGGAATACTTGTATATACTATTTAACAGAAATTTTGATTAAATATGAAATGTAAACTTGACATTCGATGAACTCCCTTTAGTTACTCTTTCTTCCTGAAAAGTCATTCTCAGATACGATTTTACTCATTATTTCAGGAAGCTTTGCATTGTCAGTTCGAACAAAGCCTATGTATTGAGTTGAAATGTTTACTTTTTATAAAAGAAAACGCTAACCAAACGATTTACTTACTATAAAAATATCTAAATGCAGGCAATAAGATTACTCTTTATTTTTATATACTTATTCATCTTTGGTACAGGTTTGCTGAAATCTTTAATTTTTTAGCCAAACTAATGAAAACTTTTTTTTGTTTGAAAAGCGAAATAAATAAAAACTTTCACCCTTTGGGTACAGCGTATAGTAAATAAATAAATATAAATATCTAAATATAGACAATAAGATTATTCTCTTTATTTTTATACTCATCTACGAGTATATTTTGGAACAGATTTGCTGAAATCCTAACATTTTTCGCCAAACTCTTCTCTTTTTTTTTTTTTTAAAGGGAAAATGTTTTACAACTTTAAAGATTTTAGATTATTTAATTATCTGCACGTGTTTAAAGTGTGCACCCATTAAAATGTTTACGTAAATGGCTTTAATTGTTTTTAAACACATGTGGCTGAACTTTTAACCCATAGCCCGCATCTTTTTCCTTAGTTTAAATGGAGTTTTAACAACTTTTGACCTTATCAAAGCACTTAACACTTTTGCTTTTGCATTAATCTTGTCTTTGTGCTGGTCGTCCAAATTTATTGTCATCGTAGTACCGTAAACTCTTTTTGCTTTCTTTCGATGCCCACAGATGCCTTTTGTTTCGAATTTTGATGTATGGTCTCGCGAAGACAAACCTCTGAACAGATAAAACTCATGTATTATGCATAGATATAGATGTTTGGTGTTGTTTTTCTTTATTTATTATTATTTTTTTTTTTGTTGCTGCTATTGTGGTTGGTTGTAGTTCATTGTAAAGCAGCATTTGGTCAGCCGGCCGGGCCATCGCTGTTTGTATTTATGTCTATCTATATACATGGACGTATATGTGTCTACTTGTCTGTCTGTCTGTCTGTGTGGCTATTTGTCTGGCGTATCTTCAAGTTTTCACTTTTTAACAGCGCTTAAAAACACAAAACGTTTATGGACTAGAGATGCGAACCATGGCGCTGTAGCTGTTGTGTGTGGTGTTTTGGAGCTGACTTTAAAGCATTAATTGATTGAGTTGGTTTTTGTGTTGCTGCTCCGTTGGCTGCGCGCGCAGTTGTGTAACTTGGACACGGAGGTCTAATACAACAACAACAACGGCAGCAGCTTTTCTGAGACCAGTTTTTCATCGTTTATACCTACACACATTACACTAGTCGTGTCTTTTGTAGTTGCTGTTGTTTCAAAATCATTAAACATGCCAAAATGAAAGTGTGAACAATGTGTGGTTGTGGATAACGGACGGGGATCGCGGATGCCTCACCTCTCTGTGCACATTTGGCCAACTGTGTACTTACATTCGTACATTCAAGAGTATTATTATTATTATTATTGCTATTTACTTACTTTCTTTGGCCGACACCATCAACATGAGTCAGTAGCACACTTTGTAATACAAATAAAAAACATTGTGTGACTAAGAATTGTTAGAGGCGGGCGTTGATAAGATCTGCTGTTTTGTAAATATTTATATGGCTCGACATATATTTGCAGCGTTTTTTAAATGCCTTGTTCCTTTTGCAGATTGATTGCATCACTGCCCAAATATACGCAACATCTATTAGTTTTACTCTTTGGCACATTCCGAGTGATTGCCAGCAATGCGGCCCATGCCGGCACGGGCATGACCAGCGAGGCCTTGGGCGTCAGTGTGGCGCCCAGTTTCTTTCAATCGTGCGTCAGTGACGGCAAAACGGCGCGCATGGAGGATGTGCTTAAGTTTAAGGTGAGTAATCGTACACCTATCTAATAATTCAATTGGCCAACATTCTTACACTCCCCACATGATGATTCTCTACTTTATAGGTGTCCACAAAGATCATGCAACATATTATTGATAAATTTGCTACACATGATATTTTTGGACGTGACAATTACGAATACTATGCCCGCGTCACGGGCCGCATACTCAAGGTGCAGGATGAATGGATATGCAGTTTTCAATATCCGCCACCACCACGAGGAAAATTGGCGCAACAGAAATATGCATGTGAGTATTCAAATTGATTCTCGCTCTTTCGAATCTTTATGGAAAACTCAAAACTACTTTTCATTCGATTCGCACGTTTAAGGGTTACTCGCTAGCTAGAAACGAGATTCGGGAATAATGTTTGAAACTATAGTAATTATAGGAACCTTTAAATGAAAACGGGGTTTCTTTTATAACGCATGCCTTCTAGCGCTATTTTAGATCTGAATAGGACCAACACATACTTATTATTGTCATTCTTCTGTCTTCTGAGGGTCCTGAGTTACGCATTACCCTATAAAATTCTTTCGAAGCTTAAATCTTGGCTCGTTCCCTTGTTTATAATCACAAAATATCATTTAAAGTCAATTGAAATATACACAGGGGCGGGGAAATGTAAATGACGTATCCGTAGATAAATCTGTGGGCATGAAATAAATTTTTCCTAGCATTTCAACTAATCTTTGAATAACCTAACATATAAAAATTATTGATTTGTGTAGGAAAATAGGTTTGTGGATTACACAGTATGTGGGGTTTTGTGTTCTTTGAAATTATTGTATAACTTATCAGGCTTCTACTTCAGGTATTTTCCACTATACTTTATATGTAAATAAGTTAGTCATTGTGCAGTGTGGAAAAAAACGATAATAGTTAAAGATATACTTGCAAACCGTATTGCGCTAATAATCTAGGTAGTAGATTTTTGTCTGTCTACAACTAGTGCAAAAACGAGTCTGGCTGACTTATTGCAATATTTCACGGGTTATTCAAATGAATAAACCAATAAAATCGGTTTCACTTTCAATCCTGGGAGTAGCTAATCCAAGTAAATATGCAATTAATATAATGTATTTGAGAAAAGAAGTTTTGGCTGCATGCGAACATAACCTCTGATATCTGAACTAACAAACGAATTACAACTAATTCTGTTTTTACACGATAGATTGGTTTCAGAAAAAGTCGTTTAAAAAACCGTGTAAAAAAGATATTGATCGTATGTTATTTTGAATCGTGCTAAATGGAATAAATAAATAAATTTTTAATTTAAATCGTTTTAAATCAAAACCGTGTAAAAACAGAATTGGATGTACAATAACAATATGCTCACTTCCATATTTCAAAAATGTTGTTTTTTGAAACGCTAATTGTGTTTTTCTTTCTTCTCCACTGGCAGTGCAACACTCTTTGGAGGCCGAGAAGACTTGGCTGCAGTGCCAATGCGAGCGTTGGGGTTTACGTGAGTACCCAAGCCATTTTATACGTAGATTCTGTATAGCTTTGCTTATCTCTACACTGTCTCTCTATCTCTGTATCTCTATCTCTGTCTGAAACTCAATCTTAAATTTTATGTCACTGTTGGGGGTGTTGCGTTCTGTGTTTTAGTTTGTAAGTCTTTTTTGCTTATGCTATCAACTACAATACTACTTACGTATCGGGGTTAATGCTTATGGTTTTACACACACACACATACACACGCACACACATTACTTTGTTTGCTTATGCCACGTTCTCTGCACGCTATGTGGTTTCATTTCTTTCACCATTGCCATGCAAAAGGTCCAATATTTACGTATAATTCATTGTCATGTTATGTCTTCTAAAAACTGTACGATTTTAAATCACCAACCACATCAACTACAACAACAACAACAACAACAATAACGAGCAGTGGCTCAAGAGGAATCGCGTTCGACGCCCGCCTTGCTGACCAGCTCCAGTTCTGCGTTGGAGAACAGTGTGCTCTCATTGGGCGTCTCGCCAGAGCATTCATTCATCGAATCCTGTGCCCGTCTCTCGGTCTCATTGGAGGGTCCGGGCATATTCGCATTGACATCGTCACCGCTGCCCAAACGTGGCGGTAATGGTAATGGCAACGGCAATGGAAATGGCACCGACTACGACTACGATGATTATGCCGACGATGACGCCGGCGATGATGATGATGAGATTGATTTTGGTGCCGACTTGGAGCTGAGCAACATACCGGGACCAGATGAGCAGCACCACCACCACCAACAGCAGCAGCAGCAGCAGCAGCAACAACCACACCACCAAATGCGTGGCATGTTTCTACAGCAACGTTCCAAGCAGCGCCAGCAACAACAGCTGCAACAACAAAACGACGATGACGATGACGACGATGAGATTGTGAAGCGTCGCTATCGTCAGAACAAGAAGAAGCCTTTGCCGGCCAGCGGCCCACAAATGCGTGGCCAGCACCAGCGACGCCTGCGCACTGGCACCAAAAGTCTCGACGGCACTGGCGAACGACGCGGCAGCAATGCGAGCAACAGCAACATTGGTGCTGCAGCGGCAACAGCATCTGTAGCAGCAGCAGCAACAACAACAACAGCCAGCGGAAGTGGTGGTGCTGCTGCTAATGGTGGCGCCAAGTTGAAGCAACGGACCTGCAGTCGCTGCAATCGAGGCATCCGCCACTCCTCCTCGTGCTCGTCGACGTCGGGCGGTGCGATGGTGGGCAACGGCAACGGGGGAGCTGTGGGCGGTGCCGGCGGCAACGATGGAGCTGGCGGCAACAACGGCGGCATGACCATGGAGGAGCTGCGCGCCGTCAATCGCTATGCGGAGAGCACCAAGAGTCTGTCTTATTTGCCACAGGTGAGGGATGATTTCTTGCTTGGTTCAAGAATCTCGGTATAGATTGCACTTTTGCTGATGATGTAATGAGATCACTATTAGGAAGAAAAGAAGAAGAACAAGAATATCACAGCTTATTTAAAAACCCATAACTTTTGCTCTCGACTTTTGAGTTTTGTGTTCTTTTTGCAGATTTGAGCAAAGCAAAAAAAAAAAAGAAGAGGAAGAAATATTAGAAATTAGTTTTAAGTTTAGCTTTAGGTTTCATTGATTTTACTGAAATTAACCATTTTTTGATTTGTAATTTAAAATTAACGCTGCGTATATCTTTAATTTTCACAACTAATTCAATTTGTTTCCTTTATTATTGTTATTATTTTGTACACTTCATTTTTTTTTTTTTTTTTGGTTTTGTTTGATCTCTCTGAACTGATTTGTGGCACAGGTTTGGCAGGCAGCTGCCACGCCCCCCAAACCACTTGCCACTGTCGACATTTATTCGTTCTATATTTTTAATTTTTGACTATTTAGCATAACAAAAACAACAACAAGAACCAAATGAGTTTTTCAAAATTTAACTGTTTGCCTAGTTATGTAACATTTTCTTCTAACTAAAGCTGCGCATACAACAACCACAACAACAACAACTACAACAACCACAAAAGCAACAACAACACCACATACACACACTATATACAAAATAAGTGTCACCTTATATATACATATATATGTATATGTGTATATCTATATGTATTTATATCTAAGCGAGTAAATTCCTCACATTGAGAGCACAAAGCACACCCACACTCACTCACACTGAGAGAAAGAGAGTCGCAAAATGCTTAAAAAGTACAACAATAACAAAATTTGACACGCGCACAACCACCTCCCCACCTCGCTGTACAAACACAAAAGTCCATAGGTTTACGTTATTCTGTTTCCTTCGGTTAAATTAATGTTTATTTTTTGTTTCGTTAATGCTCTTTGTATGCAACAAACTCAATAGTTAGTTCATAACTTTAAACTACACCTAACACTTAAACATAATGTGTGACAGGGTTTTTATGAATTTCGCATTAAGACAAATACCATAAAAACACACACAAGCAACAATTATACGTACCAGACACTAAATTTAAATAATTGCAAAACAACAAAACACAAAAAAAAAAACAACAACTCCAAAACCATTTTATTCGAAATAAAAGTAAAAAATTTGCATTCCAAAAAACAAGCAACAAATCTCAAAACAATTGCGTATATATTTAATATCGGGCCAAAAGCTTTTTGCATGTCATTAACAGAAAGATGACTTAATTGGCAACTAAACTTAATCTACAAAGATCATAAGAATTGTTATATAGTGTTTTAGAAGTGTTTGAAACACATTGCAAGCGATTGAGAGTCCAAATTCATGTTACATATGCGTTTGTCTCCGGAAATTTCAAAAGGATAACTAGCATTTACTGTTCTTAAGAACATATAAGTATAATTAATCATTTAATTGTTTACAGAACTAGCCAGAGAAGCTTTTTGAGTGCTTCGATTGTAGGTTTTAATTAATTAATGATATACTTTGACAAATTTGTCTGCAAATTTTTTGCCAGTGTGACCATGTTTGGGTACAAAATTTGCAATCAAATTTGTCAAATTTCAAAAGTATTTCGTGAATATAATGAAACTGTAAGAAAAATTTTTAAAATCTACTTTTGAAGACCCACTCGTAGAATATGATGATGATAGATTTTTTGCCTACCTGAGAAAATTTATTTATTTTTTGGAATTAATTATTTGTTGTTTATTTATTAACAGTTCTGCTGCAATGTAAAATGTACATGGGAACAAATATTTAGCTATAGCTACGAGGCCTTAAGCTAGCCGAATTAAATATAAATCATTACACACAGTCCAGATGTGTAATAAATATTTTTAAAAACTTTGTAATTATTATACGTTTATGCCAGCTTTATCTAATTATTTGGGTTGGTTAGAGAACTCATGGATGTAGGTGTTTTAATAGCTTATAGTAGTTCAAAAGCTACATTTGAAGAGGCTCGACTCTGACCAACAGCATTTATAGATAATACGTGATAGTACGGATCAAGTTTTAGGCACATGTCTAACAAACACTTACTTTTTTTTTAAATCTAGAAACACAACAACAAAAGCACATGTAACCAAAGCCGCAAGCAGTGGCGACTGATGTGACTCAACCAGTTTGTTTATATTTATTTAAGTTGTTCATTTGCTTAGTGCATAGTTCTAGTTGTTTAATTTTGTATTTTAGACTTAGAAAATATTGTTTTGTATTTGTATTTGATTTTGTAGTTTTGTTTGTTGTCTTGTCGTAGCATCGTAGTTCCTTTTTAATTGTTTATGTTAAAAAGAAAACAAAACAACTTTGAATAACACTTGTATGCGCTATTTGTAGTTTGTAGCTCTTGACCTGCTGTCTTGTCTTCATTAATCCTGTATTGTATTTTTTTTTAATGTGCACTTTGTATTTATTATTAGTTATTATTATTTTTTATTTGTTGTAGCTCTTAACATTTATAGCATATGTAGTTAATAACATTTAGTTTTAAGCAAACATGTCTACACATTTTGCTCACACAAGCAACAAACAGGTTTTTCATATTTCCCACAGTTGTGAATCAGCGACTTGCTTAAAATAATTTGTTAAAATCCATAATATAACAAGCATTTAAAGGCTAGATATCTAAACATTTCCAAGGTCTGTCTCAGATTATACTAAAGATGATGAATTAATGAGTTTTTTTTTTAGAAGAATGCTCTCTCATTGATAGTAAGTTAAAGTTATGAGTTTATTTCAAGTTAAGATTCAAATTGAAGATTTTAATGCCAATCACAAACTATGTATATTTGAAGGAGCTGTTTTAGACGTTTTAAATATTTTTATATAACACCTTTTGTATTCCATAAATTTTAACACTAATGATTATTTGCCTTGACTGTGAAAGAACCGAAGATATTTCAAAAGTAGCATATAATACCGTTTTATAATAGCCACTCGAATATTTGGGTCTCCTTTCTTGGAATGCAGATTCGTGATTTATAAATTCGAACTGAATCTTAAAAATGTAATTTCAAAATCGAATATTGGAAATATTCAGCTTTATTAGGTTCGTAAAGCATTATCTTTATTAGTGATATTAGTGTGTGATCTGGAACAGACCTTGTAGACTCTATGCTCGTATATCCATGAAATTCACTTGCGCTTTTAATGTTCATAGATACATAACTGTTTTTGAGCAAGGCAAACAATTTAATCAACGCTTGTTGGCGGTTTCTAAGTACTAAGTACATATATTGTCAATGTTATTATTGCTATTTGAAAAGCCATTTCTCATATTTAAAGCCAATATATATTTTGTTCCTTAATTTATATTCGTTTGTTATTAACCATTTGCCAAGTTATACATATATTTCAATTAATTATTAATTTCAAAGCACTTTTTCACGCTGCTGTGCGCTGCTATAATTTTTCAATTCAATGCACTTTTATTTATTTATTTGAATTCATTTTTTGATTTGTGCAATGCCTTAGTTTTGTTTATTTTTTGTTTGAATGTCAATAAAAGTTTTAAAATTTAAGCAAATTAAAAAAAAAAAATGAATAAGAAATCAATTAGTAGCTACAAGCTATAAAAAATGAAATACTTCAATGAAAAACTCTAATGCGAAATTTTGAATCCCCGTTTCCCCTCTTACTACAAACAACCAACAACAACAACTACAACTACACATCACAACGACGACAACATTTAACAATAAATACGAAAATATAATTTGAAAACAATTTGTAAAACAAAAAACTACACACGTTAGGTCCATGAACGCCAAACCGCACGCATGCGCACCCGCTCCGAGTGGTTCCTAGGCCCGCGAGACGCTGTCGTCTCGTTGCAGCTGCCGGCGGATACCTGCAGCAATTGTTGCTTGGCCGCTGCGGCAGCTGCCGCTGGCTACCTGGGCGGCGGCAGTACGCGCGACATGCGCCACAACAACGAGAGCGACAACAATGCGCTGTTGTATCACTTTTATCGCAAGCAGCAAGAACAGCAGCAGCAGCAGCAGCAGCAACACTATCGGCAACAGCAACATCAGCAGCAGCAACAACTGGCTGATGTGCACATGATGGACATGGATGAGCTGCCATATGATGATCAACAAAAACAACAACAACAGCAACAACCACTAGCACAACAGCAACAAATACATTCCACAAAGCTTGCCAGTGGCGGGCTCCTGAAGCCGCCGCAACTCCAACTCGGTCAGCAGCAGCAGCGCCGGCTGCTGTTGGATGCCAATTCGGGTAGTTATGAAGCAGCAGCTGCTACTACACTTACTAATTATCTTACACACGCTGACGCTGACCAAGAACACCAACAACTATTACAGTCAGGCAACGAACCCATGCTAGCGTCTAACAAAATGCATCATTACTATAACAACAACAACAACAATCACACGTTTTACACACGCAGCAATGTCAGCAACAACCACCACAACAACAACAACAATCAATCAGCTTACTACAATCACGTGCAACAAACGGAGCAGCAGCATCAGCATCATCATCAACAACAACAAGAACAACAACAACAACAACATGCATTCTATATACACGAACCGCTCAATCATTCATGCTACTATTCCACCCAATGTTTGCGATCCGCTGCTGTTGTTGTTAACACAGACGATGATGACCATTCCGACTGCGATTCTCTGGACAATGCCACTGTTGGTGTTGCTGGTGGTGTCATGCACACGTTGCAGTCGCACGAGTTGCAGCAACATGTTGCTCCTGCACTGCAGCAACAGTTGCCGTCCCTCATGCGCCACTCCACGCCGGTGGCGACACGTCAGCAGCGCCAGCAACATCCACACTTGATTAGCGACTCCTCATCGACGCTCTATCAGTCGTTCGATCCTGCCACACTGCCGCTGTCGACAATACGTCAGCAACAGCGCAGAGGCAACAGCAGTCAGAATAGCCACAACAGTAATAATAATAATAATAACAACAGCAGCAGCAGCACCGCTAACAATAACAACAGCAACAATAACAACTTCGTCACAGTAATTTTCAACGTCTTAGACTTTTTATTCTAAAATTTTTCTACCCTACACCAAAATCAGCTAAAGGCATGCTATTCGTTGTGTTGTTCCGCTCCCCCACTTTAATTCGATCATTCAACATCCATACATCCGTTTGACGAACCTAGCAACATAAAACTAAAACATATACCATATAACGAGCTAGACCGCGACCTAAACAGCGAATGCTTTCAAGTGAATATTGTCCAAGCATTTTTGTTAATTATTTCTAAACATTTATCATGCATATGTGTCTAAAAAGTTAAAAAGCAACTCTGACGATTGCCCAGAAATTAAGTTGATCCGATACATAGTTCCTATTCCAACATGAAGCAAGCTGGCGTTTCAAAATCAAATCTCTCTGGTCAGACAGGCAAATCATTTTCGCATTGTAATGTTAATTTAATTTTAGTGAAAAATCAATACTGTTAAGCTATAGAGTTTTCTTTGCTATAATTGATCTGTTGAGAATAAACATTTCAGATGAATTATTTGTAGAATTTGTGAACAGATTATTTGCCTCTCTGACCATTGTACAGGGAATCATTTGCAACTCTTTCAAAAGTCGGTCATAATTGTTTATTTTTATTTCCTAAAACATACCACGATAAATATTAGGAAAGCAGATTCTTTGAAAGAAATTATTAATTATATTACACGATAGTTATTACCTTTTCGATAATCGAATCGATGAAATTGTTGAACTTCGGATTTTAATGAAAGATGCTTTTTAAAATTCCGGAACCAAAAGGCAAATTTTGAATATTATTTATTCGAAAGAAACTTGGTTTTCCAATATATCTCTAAAAACTGATTCTGACTTGTAATTTTTGGAAAGATTTTCAGGATTATAAAAATGATTATTTAAATCAAAATTATGGCTTACAGTTTAAACCACTTTCCTTAGCCATATGTGCATGATAGAGAAAGGAAAAAGTTCGTGTGCAACGAATTTATAATATCATTTGTTATTGCTAACTACATATTAAGTTATTCGTTGATTACGATTGATTCGAGCATATTGTTTATTACCCTAGCGAATATTTATTTTAATTAAATTGTATTTATTTTATAATAGTATGTCTTACTACTATTTGTATAAACGTAAACGTCTAAACATTGTGCACAGCGTGCGTTCATTATTATTTTTTTTTTTTTGTTCATTTGATTTAACCGAAACATTTATTTTGTAATCGATTATATACATGCGAGTATATAATATATATCTCACATTTACATATATACATGCATACATACATACATATATACATACATTTATGTGTTAATGTGTTCTTTGTTTAATGTAACTCTTGAACTATTTGTAACAATAAACAGCAAACTATTATTTAATTCATTTGATTATTGTGTAAAGAGAACTTGAACGAACGGCTTTTGTGTTATTTCTCGTCGATTCCTACATATACTATACACATACATATACTTTATACATAACGCCACATCCATGTATATGTTGTAATGGTTGTTGTTTTGTGTTTTCTTAATATTACTAACCAAAAACATTTGTGTAATTTGTGTTGTTTTTTAAAGTGTATATTGTTTATTTTGTTTACTCGTACTTCTTGTTGAGTTTGTTTGTTTGTTTGTTTGTTTGTTCGAACGCTGGCAAACAGTGCACAATAAAAGTCTACACATAGACCATCACAACCACAATCACCATCCCAGCAACGACAACAACAAAAACAGCAGAAACTCAGTTCCATTTCTGCAATAGACAACAACAATAAGAATCTACACAAGAACAAGAACAACAACAACCACCACCACAACCACCATCTGAACAAACCAAAATTAATGCCAAGTGCCGCTCCCGAAACTTATCAAAGATATCATTTTGTTTCTCTTCTCTCCCACGATGTTTTATACATATATATATAAATAAATATATACCACGTATTTATGTATGTATATGTATATAAAAATCGACCCACAACCAATACCACCATCCCGAACCACCAGTTGGCAACATCCGTCTGAGTAACAGTGCCGAGTCCATACAGTACACGACGCGTCCCCGACACCAGGCGAACCCAACGACGCGTCGAATCCTCATCAATGTGCCGCGCCAGTACCCGGTCCGCTCCTCGCTGCGTCGCCACAAGGAGAAGCAGATCGGGGGGAACAGTAATAGCAACAGCAGCAACAGTATCGCCAGCGATCAGCTGACCAACAGCACCACCATAGCCACCGGCGGAGCACCAACCACCAGCACACTCACCACCTCGGGCACTGCGCTCAACAAGCCTCTCCTCATGGTCGCCCTTCTGCCGGGAGCCGAGCAGCCGCCCTCGGTGCGCAACTCCATAGCCGAGTGTGGCGTTGGCATCGACTACGACAAGATGATGATGGTGGACACCAATCTGAGCCTCGACTGCAGTACGACCTTGACCTTCAAACCGCCGCGACTGTAACAGAGCGGTCGCCAGCAGGATAAGGATCCGAATAGGGCCGAGGACGAGGATGAAAAGCGGCAACAGCACAACTAATTATTCCAACTAAGGGGGTTACATCTCACACCTACACTCGAACACCTCAAACACACACTCACACACACACACACGTACACATATAGCTTATATTCTTAAAAACAATTGATATAGTCCTTACATAATATTACAATGTCGAGAATATTTTATACATTTTCTATATACATATAGCTATTTATATGTAATCTATGTATGTGTATGTCATATGTATTTATGTGTATAGCAAGAAAAGGCTGATTTTCTTTAGTTTAAAAACAACAACAACAACAACAAAGAAGAAGAAAAAGAACAACAACAAAACAAAACAAAAACGATATTGCAACAAATTGCCAAATTTTATTTGAGATGAAAGATGAAATCAGATCGTTCACTTTTTTCATTTTAGAATTTTCCAAGTCGATATTTTGTGTTTTAGACAGAATCTCGTCTTTAGTAGATAACAAGAAAAAATTTTAAAGCACCTAATGCATAAAACGACAGTACAACAACAACAACAACAAACTCGTAAACATTGTCAAACATAAACAAAATACATGAAATACATCAACTTTTGACCTGAAATTCAAAGAAAAATGAAACCAACAACGACAACACATCTAATGTCTAAGCGACAGCATTAACCGATTTATAGTAAATAGCACATTAAGCTCCTCAAATCAGCAAATCGTTTACATACGAGTATTCAATCCAATCCAATCGTCTCGAATTGGTGTTCACATAGAATTGTCTTAAAAGTTGAACTCAAAATACGTACGAGTACAAAACTGTCAAAAATCGAAGAATAAAGGAAGGAATGAAGAAATCATGTATAAAACGTTATAGCATTTAAATAGTTTATAGTTCCAACTCGAATGCAAAGGAAGAAAAAGAAAAGAGAACCCAATTTGTAATACTATTAAAATTCAAGTATATAGCCTATATTTAAATCGATGTATATAGTATATATATGTATGTCTGTGTGTACAAGATATATGTCATATATATTTATTAACATATGTAAATGGCGCTGACACAGCTCCGAAATACCAACAAGAGTGAACCTTAAAACTGCAGAAGACATCGTAATGGGGAAATAATTTGAAATCATTTCACAATCAAATCTGTAATCATTTAGAATCAGTATATAGAATAGACAGCTTCCCATTAATGTTCCAATTGGTGCCTCGCGTAATAGTGAACATTAGATATGAGGTATAGAAAAAGTTTTACGTTTTTAAACAATTTTCCAACAAGTTTGTTTTATAGATCTGAAGCTAGCAACTAAAAAGTCCCAGTTTCAATGAAATTTAAAACTATTTTCATGAAGATTCTCAAATAATTGATTGAACAAATTTTTTAGATCTTTAGATCAAGAACTTTCAAACTGAAAAATTACAATTCAAAGTTACTTTTATGAATAATATTTACTGGGTATTTATAAACAACAAAAATGTTAAAAATTTATAATAACTCACATAAAAATTGTCACCACAGAATAATTATCTAAATTACTGAAATGGTCGCCTCCCAAAAAAGAATTGATCATGGAAATCTTTCTTTCCATTTGAAGTTTTCTAATAATTTTGAAAATAGTTTCATTGCTAATTCCTCTCACTCAACCCTTCTACGAATATATTTTTACCGACCGATAATAATGCCATAACTTTATGATTTTTTCTACGCTCATAAAAAATCTATGAAAGTTAGTAACCATATGGGGGGATTCCGCAGAAGAGCTGTGTTAGCGTTTTTTTGTGCTACAATTTGTGTCTTTGTTGTTTAATTGAATAAACATAAATATAAATAAAATAAACAATACTTGAATTTATATTAGGGTTACAACTAATTTAAAACAAATGTATCTCATACGTAGTATGAGGCAAGTCTATGGATGTAAGCTCTCGGAAGCAACAAAACTACCAGAAATAAAAATATTTTGAGTATACATGGATAGGAAACCAGACAACACCAATTTGTTGATTAGAAAACAACTTTATTATATCAACATAGTTCTTTTTTATTGCTGTGTATGATGTTAGGCTCTAAGCTAACTATACTTATATATATATATATATATGTATAAATAGTATAGTATCTATATAAAATCTTACAAAGTTCGCGTTCGAGTGAAGTACATTCGGGTTAGCACCTACAATTACGTCTATATGCATATAGATTGTAATACAGATGTGAAGAATGATTTATGAACTACTACTATTTATAGTACAGTATGATGATCTATTCTGTTCGGTTCCATATACACACCTACATAGTTGTACATATATATATATCTAACTTGTAATTACCGCAAACGCGTTTCGAATACATAAATACACATTTTTAGAATACTTTTTATTTGGCTTTCTTTTAATCGGCGCTCTCCACGTCCACGTTCTGTTTTCCTGAAACTGCTGTATACAAGAAATGAATCATACATATAATGCAACTATACTTATACTTGCTAAATGGAAACAAAACAAAATAAAACCCAAATGAACTCAAATTAATTGTCTTGGGCCCCAACGAGGCGTTTCAATGAGTAAGCATGAGGTGACAATTAGATTATTAAATGTGGGCGAGTTTTCAGCTTAAATGCAGAACACATATTTGGTTGTTGCTGAAACTATATATCTAATTGTACAAGGCCTTATCCACTATGATGCCGTGCTCGATGAGGAAGCTCTCGACATCGGAGGCAAAGAAATCATCGCTGAGATCGTCAGTGAGGCGCACGAAGTTACCAATCACTGCCTGCGCCTTGTAGACCAGCAAGGCGGGCAGGCCTTTGGTGCGAAAGTCGCGACTCATGCCAGCCACAGAGCTGCAGATCTTAGCAAACTTTATGGACGGATAGTCAATGGCCAGGCTATCCAGGCACTTGTTAAGTGTGGCACAAGCAGGCAAGGCACGCTCGTAGATGTGTATGATGATCGTCGTATGTTTGTTCTCCTTCTCCACACAGGCCAGGAACTCCTCGTGGGTGCTCAGCTGCTGCACCTTGCCAAACTGTTGATTGTGGCCCGTTTGTCGCAGCATTTCGGCCATGCGCTGCTTCTGGAATTGCTGCAGAAAATCTTCACTCATTAGCTCGGCCAGCTCTGCATCGAGCTCTTCCTGCCGCTTGCGCTCCTCATCCTCGGCTGCGGTCGCCGTTGTCATGCTTAACTTTTGGGCCAATGCCAGGCGCTGCCGTTCGGTCTCTTCGCGCCGCTCCGCCTCCAATTGCTTGAAACGCTGCCAGTCCTGGACCACGCCTTTGGGTCCCGTGTTGGTGGACGCTTGTTGGCGATAGCCGCCAGCCGGCGCCGCATTGGGGTCAGTGTTGATGGTCAGCCCCGCGGACTTGCTTTGCCCGCCTTTAGCACCCGGCTGGTTATCGCCAGCTTCATCATCGCCATTGTCTTCGCCTTCACTGCTGCTGCAATAATACTCCAATTTTTCGCCGAGCAATTTGTCCTCCAAAGTGGCCATCGTACGAGGGTGAGTTTATGTGCCTTTGTTAATGCAATTAGCAGATACGTTGGACTGAAATTTTTGCTGAAAACACACTCACACACCAATTCCCTTTGCTTACAACAATGTACACAGTATAAATAATAAAAATAGTAAGCTAAAACAGCAATTATTCACTTAATTGTACGCTCTAAAGAACTTGTATTTTATGCAGCTATAACTACAGTTTCGAAGCCACTGCAGAATCAGCTGTTGCTAGTGCTATAAAACATCAATAGATGGCGTCTCTGTGAAAAGAGTTGGCAGCGCTACAATCTTAACGCCCGCTCATTTTAAATTGTGAGTGCTGCGTATGACATTCAGGACTTCACGCAATTTTTCAGGAACATTGAAATGAAAGCTCCCAATGAGTTGCTGCTCCATGCTATTAAAGTCTGCTTTCTCCAGCTGGTAAAATGTTGTACATAAAATACAAAACCATAATGGTTGGTAAAATTGTAAAAAGAAGAAGAGGATTATTAATGCAAACCTCATCGCAAGAGTCGGTGCAGGAAGGATCTGCCAGTGCAAGGCGCTCTGCAAACGACACAATACCACACCAGGTGCGAAAATCCAAATATCCGCTGCTGCTGCGCTCATATCCGAGCATATTTAGAGTTCGACACACATTTTCTTCGGTGCCGTGGAATTCCAAAACATCTTCCAAGGCCTGCGGCAAGCAATGCCACATCATTGTTCTTTCCTTGTACTCGGTCTGAATTGGGTCTTCATTGGCATTGCCCAGCATTTCGCTTTCCGGCTCCTCGCAGCGGCTTAGATACTTTAGAAACACACGTTTATAGAGCTGTTTTCGCTGTTGTGAGACCCATACATATTTGCTTAAGTAGTCCAGCGGTGTCATGTCTAGAATCTTTTCAAATTAGCAATTTTTTTTTTTTTTTACATAAGGAATACGCACATACTTTGGAATAAGTTCAGGTCCATGGGCACATCGAATCGCGTAGCTGATTTGGAGAACTTGCGCGGCATTTTGGAGTTGATGCCGCCCGAAGACTTCTCCGATTCTTCTGCCGGTTTGTTCACAGCCTTCGGTTTTGGGGGCATGTATTTGATGGCCTCGCGTAGTGCACGATTCAGCTATAGAGAAGTAAGGATTAGTTAATCGGACTCGGTTGTTGGGCAGATCGCTCACAGCTTACATATCTGCCAAAGGTATTTTCTATCAAGTCCACATCCAAGTCCGTCTTCAGCACCTGAAATGCCTCGTCAGTGAGGAAACTACCTTTCAACAAAATGGGCTCGCTTTCCCGCTTGTCCTTGGCGGGCAGTAAACTAATCGAATTGGGTATCAAGCTCGGTCTTGTGCTGGGATTAAGCGAGTCGGGTCCCAGTGCAGAAACCTAAATAAATTCAAAAAATCTTTAATAACATACATATATAGCTATATAGGCAGAAGTGTAAATATCACCTGTGTTTCTGGATCCTCGCTCAAATGAAAAGTTGTGGTTGCTGTACATAGAAAATTTTGTAGTATCAGAAGAGTAATATAGAAAATTAGTAAAAGCTTTAAAAAAGCAAAGATAGAGTGCAACAACTGTTTCATAAATATTTCATCTTCAGCTTGATAGGAAGTGACAATTATGAGCTATTTAAAAAAGCAGTAAACTTAATAGGTTAAGCAAATATCCTAAGATCTATTTGGACTATTTCATTTCCCTAGCCAAACTAATTCTTCATCTTTTCTAACTATTCAAATCAGTAAATTTTAAAAATAACGAAGTACTTTGTTGGAGCAAAGATAAATGCTTAAACTTTTAGAAATAGTAGAACCGATTCTAAAATATTTTAAAAACCCCTTTTCACAATACTTTTGAATGAAGTTACAAACACAACATAATTAAGTTGCTTTGACACGTTTTCCAACACTTATATTGAAATAAACGACTTTGTTAGGCTCTTCCCCATTACAGAATTCGATCATACTTCCAATGGTATTGCAATTCATTAGAGATCATCTCAAATTTTCTACGAGTTGGAAAACAAATCCAAATTGATCTTGATAAATTTTATGCACTTATGCATGCTTTCTTCAATTTCTTGTTAAAAATAAAATATATTAGCCCTGAAAAAGGTATGTTTTCAGCCATAGACGGACAACTAAACTCACATTTGGGGCAATACTGTTGTAATGAATGGCTCTTACCCTGAGCAGGCTTTAGCTTTTTCCGTTTCTTGCCTCTCCTCACATCCTCATCGCTCAGTTCGTGCTCGTTGATGCATGTTTTGGGCGGCTTCGTATCAATATCTGGAGTTTCTGCAGCGCCCGGCGCATGGGTGGCTGCCGTTGCTAGCGAGGATTTTGGTCGTTGCTCATCACTTTTGGCATGCCTGGACTTTTTCTCCTCATTGGCGCCAGCACTCTTCGGCTTCTTCTCATCTTCCAGGCCACTTTGGGTCAGATCGGAACTGGGCTTCCAGTACAGCGTTTCCTGCGAATGGCTTCGCCTCAAGTCCAGTATGATTTTTTTCCGCTTAATATTCTCGTGTTTGCCCCACTCTGGGGTGATGCAGCGGCGATTGAGAAAGGAGCCGGCACTGGTGCGGGTGTGGATGCTGGTCACCGTTGGTGTGGGTGTGAGAGGACGCGAGTCCGTCTCCGCATAGCGCCGAAAGAGATCCTCGGGAATGTTGTCCGTCTCGTGCAGCTGTTGCTGGTCGGTCTCTGCTAGCTCCTGCTTATCCCTGGAATGCTGCACGTTCTTGCCCTCGATGGCCAGCGTCGTCTTCAGCTGGTGGATAACATCCTTGACGGCAGAAGGTGCGGGATGGTTGCATAGCACAGAACAGCCCTTGGCAAACGGATTGAAGAGTCCACCAAAGGGACGCAGCGAAAGGGGCATGGGCGTCGCCTCGAACTTGGAGGGCAACCGATGGTCATCGGCATGGTGTTGCCTTCGCTGTCAGCGTTGTTGCATCCACATTGAACACTTGTAACTTATTATATTATTTTTTTCTCACCTTTTTCAGGACTTTAATGCTTCGCTTAGGCGTTGGCACAAGCCCGGTCCGTGTAGTTCCGCTCATGGCGTCAAATAGACTACTTGTATTGATAAAGCTGCCAAAGCCGGCAACGTCTAGTAAACAAACATTTGAGTTGCTATGGAAAACTGCTCGTGCAGGCTAATTGTTTATTGTATAGGTTTAGCTAAAGCTTAAATGTTATTTGTTAAAACTATATACTTGTATATTTTTTAGATATCAATATAACTTAAATATTAAATAGTTCTCAGTGCATCAAAAATCGTTTAAGGAGTTCAAGAAGATATTGAAACTAAGTAGTTTGTAGTTTTTAGTTGCCAGCAAACCATTCACTTCTTCAGTTCCATCCGTCTTCGTCACCCACTCGTTTTTTCTAGAAGCGGTTTTCTAAAACAAGTTGATTTTCGAGAAAAGGGAAATTTGTTTCGCTATAACTTTTTATTGACCTTTGATTAAAAAGTATAATGAAAAGCATATAATGAATAATAATAAGATTTTTTATATTTTGTTTTATTCCATAAATTTGTGAAGCCAAGATCTAAAGAAAATTGAGCTTTTGGGTCAGAAATGTGTTTTTTTGTTGAAAAGATGTATAGTTTAATTATTAAATAAAGTATTTTTTACATTACGAACTATTATATTTGATAGAAAATCGATAAAAGTAATATTATAATATATAAATTGTAGATTGAATAAAAATAGTTTCAACAAATAATAAATGTTTTTCCTTTAAACCAATGATGTTATTCCTAAATGTGTAAATATTTTTAAGCTACCAAGTTTTTCATAAATATAGTATAGAACTGTTTTCTAAATTCAGAGTTTATTGCTAAAAAGAATTGATGTTTTAGATTTCCAATTAATATAACTAAGTTCTACGACTAATTATTGGTTGTTGTTAATTGTATTCTGTTCGAAACTTTCTATTAACTTTTTTTTACTTCCATGTATTATATTTGCATTCGTTTAATTTAATTTAAACGCTTTTAATTGAGCACGAATCGTATAACAACAAAGTATAAGAATATAGTTTTCACAAAATTTAATGATTGGAAGTTTTAGAGAAATATTTGTTTGTAAGTATTGGAAAAATGTTCAAACATAAAAGCTACTTAAATTTTATGTTTCTGCGAATAGTTGCTCCTTCATCATTGTTGCTAGAAACTTTTTAACTTCCGTTGAAAATAGCTTTTCTGTAACGCAACCAAAACTTTAGCAGCTTCAGCACTTCTTCAATCTTTCCCATGGATTGGATTTTAAATCAGCCCAGCTGCTCTATATAACAAATATAGTGGAGTGCAATTAAAAACTTGAATAAACGCTTTATTTAACGTAAGATAACAGTGTGTTTATTTTCACTTATCGCTAACAATTTAATATATAATTGTGTTTATTTTGATGCTTTTCGGCTCGCAGCTTGCACTCAATACAAGGAGCCCCGATGATGCAGATGCCGCAAACGTTGATCCAGCAACTGGCCCTCGTTGGTCAGCGACAGCGACACCGTCGAGGATGAGCGATGAATGGATGGCAGCGCCTGGCTGTCCCGAGCGGCGTTCCCAGTCGGAACGGGTCCCAGGCCCGCAGTATTACCGACAGCACGGGACCGCAGCAAGTGGTTGCGCAGTGTGGCGCCGGAGCGTTCAGTGCGCCGCACCGAATTATTGAATGAGATCTGCAGCGAGAGGCGTTTCTGGGAGAGTGCGGCCAAGTGCTCGGGCGATAGCTCGATGACTTGCGAGGTGTGTGGTGCGCCGGCGGCGGCAACTGCAACCGCCGTTGTGGCAGCACTGTAAGTGGGCAGGGGATTTGTGGGCGAATTTCCGCCGCCACCGCCACCGCCGCCGCAACTGCAGCTGACGGAGTTCAGGGAAATATTGTCGGCATTATCCGCACTGGGACCGTTGCCCGTTTCCACCAGTGTGTAAGCCACCGCCGGCTCCTTAGAGCCATTATCGTTGGCGCTTTCAAATATCTTGATGACGGGCACAACAGCGGGTGTGAGTATGATGCCGGCCTTTCGGAATTCCTCCAATGCATCATCATAGGTGGGCAGCCCGGAGACTATCGTATATGAGGGCAAGGATTCTACTTCATAGTCGGGAGGACAGCGACGACAAATCTCGATAGTGGGCTCATTGTGATTAGCGCGATCTGCAAAGAGAACAGACGAAATGTTCTTATTAGTAAGGACTGTGTATGATTGGCTTCAATTCATTCATTAATTTAAATATAAAATAAATAAAAATATATATACAAGTTTGTACTTAGTATTCATCTTTAAATAGTCATTAATGAAACTAGAGTTTTTGTAGATTGATAGCAGATTTGTAAAGCATATTGTTTATGTTCGCCAATATGCCTGAAAAGGTCTCTTAAAACTTAAGCTAATTAAGAAATGTTCACATGAGGATTCCATTAATATATCATAATGTCTATGAGTAGAGAGATATGTTTTATTTTGAAAATAGATAGATTTATAAAAAAAGAAAACTTGCAAATAAGTTGTGAAAACTCCAAAATTCGTTTATGAATTTAAAAAGTGTTTTAAAGTAGAGAGATAATTTGTTTTATTTTGAAAATAGATAGATTTATAGAAAAAGAAAACTTGTAAATAAGTTGTGAAGTTATGAATTTAAAAAGTGTTTTATCGCTAAAGGAAAACACTTTAAGCCCGCAACGAGATCTGTAGTTCTCCATTACTAAACTCTATTCTCGATTCGGATTATAATTTCATGATCTATTTGCAATTGAAATGTGATATTGCTCAGCCATTCACCTATCTTTGTGGCAATAAATTTAGTCACTCTCTTGACTATTTTTACGTTCATCCCATGGCTCGCTTTGCAATGCATTGCCGGAACTGGCAACAAACGATGGTAAATTGTACAAAAAAAGCGACCATTCAAAATTATCAAATCAATTCCGTTGCGTCCGCTGGGACCGACAAACGGCTGGCAGTTGGAAAGCAAACGGAAAGGGGAAAAAGAGAAACGCTGCAATAAATGCTACCAACCGCTTCCATTGTTACCTTTAGTTTTCCGGCATGGGGAGCACGTTAATGAAATTTTTATACAAAATGTCTGTGCGCTCGTGCGTTTTGTTAAAAGCTGACTAAAAAGAGCCGAGCGGAAATGTGCAAGCTGCGCCCAAAAGTGCTGGCGAGTGTTCGCAATTTCTGGCAGGAGCAGGCGTCGTGTCGATGGCCACTCAGCAACCCTTAAAAGTAGGCAACAAAAAATTTATTGCAATTGACTTGGCAGCTGGCAGAACTGTTGCGCATCCTGGGGGGAAGCCCGCCAAGAGGCCTTGGCCAGGGTGGCGCAAGGTGAGTCAGCAGCCAAACCTCCACCACGTCCTGCCGGTGGAGGCTGTTGTTCTGGCCAGCGTTTAGTGACGTAGTACATGATTTTAAAGATTAGCTACACGCTGGGACAGGGGCTTTAAAAAACATTTGAAATGAGGCACGCTTGGCTTCACGCCCTTTTGTGTTGTCATTTGTTTGCTTAAGGGAAGTTTTGGGGCAGCGCATTTTCACACCCACATGGAGCAGAAGAAGAACGACCAGACATTCATTTTTTATGCAATGCCTTGCTGAGCTCACGAAATTAAATTGATGATGCACAGCAGCAAGTGGGAAAACGAAAAATAGGACTACGCATCCGTTTTGGGGGTTGTACGAGTAGGCACATGGAAAATGCGATGTATGTATGCCCGATTATGTACTGAGGCTTGGAGCTTAGCCCAACGGGTTCAACATGTTCGAGTGGCTTTTTGTAATTTTCAATTGACTTTTGTTAATTATGGGCGTCTGTTTGTTCGCTTCCACAACCTAAAAGGGTTGGCCAATTTGGTTTAATGGGCTTTTGATTTAGTGGCAAGTGCTGAGCAAGAGAGTATTTAAACAGCGTCGTTCAAGTATCGATTACTCTTAGCCTCTTTACACTTCGTTGCATCCTTTCAAGCCAATGACTTTTTAGCGGCCATAGAATTTACAAATATTGGGGGAGTTGCCGCAAAAAAGTTGCATCCATATTGAATGGGTGAATGGGTTTGGAAAACAAAAATTAATGCATAATCATAAAGAATTGTTATACTTTCGCCGCTAAATAGAAATTGCGTTTACTTAAAGCTTAACTAAGAGTCGCTTAGAGCAATTTGTTGTGAAGAATTGAAGTTATATCTGACTGCCTAATATATGAATTTTCATTTATAATTTATGGAGGAAGTTATTTTAATGCAGTTTAAGGGAAAATGAAAAAGGCATCAGTTGTAAATAATTAGCTAAGACTTTGAGCTAACAAGTTTGGGGAAAAACATTGGGCTAGCTAAATTGATTCACTATCAGTGGGAATATGCTAAGTACTTTACAGCACCACCTTTTGCAAAACTAACTAACAACAGTTGAAAAGTAATTTTCAAAGACTGATTCATAAATATCAAACTTTATTACTCATAAAGGCTTAAAGTGGAAAACAAACACATACTTTTACATTTCTTCGAGATTTTTAGAGAGAAAAGCCAATAGTGTTTCTTCATCCTCCACTTCTAATCAGTGGAATTATGAACAAACTTGCATAAAATGTGTTAAAAAACTCAGCAATCTACATTTATTCTCTGGACTTATTTGCTTTAATTTTTTAAATTTTTAATAAAAGATAGATAATCCATATTCCAAATAGCCTAATAAAATTAAAGCCGCTTTTAGGATTAATAGCTACTATCTCTTAAAATGTTTTTTACGTAGTTGGGAAGCTTTGGTTAAGAAGGAGAATACCGATTACATAGATCTGTGAATGCTGCTTGAAATCCAGTGAAACGAAAGCTTATATTAAATATGTAAGTATATACAAGTATCCCGTTTTTATTTGCAACTTAAAGTCAGCTTTAGGCGACCACAAGCGATGCCTGTCCACTTGGCAGGCTTTATTTGATGGGCGCCAGGGACAGCAACTACTTGACTTGATGAACTGCCTTCCTGGCTGCTTGGCTGCTTGGCTGCCTGTCGTTTCATCTGTCTGTCAAAAAGCACAAACACAAAGCCGAGGGACATACGCATTCAATTCCCCAAGCGCAGCTTAGCACAACAATAAAATGAAGTGCAGCATAAAAACAGAGAAAAAAGAAACCCGGAAAATAAACAAGGACAGCAGCGACAACAACAAAGTGTAAGTGCGTTGTGCATAAAATATGCGCCGCAAGTTATAAGCCACAAACAAAATGGAGTCACTAGTCAATATGCTAAAGGTCATGGAAATGCCAGCCACACACACACAAATAGACACACACCAGCATAAAAATGGACTTAGACCAAAACATAACCTAAGGCAGGCAAAAGATATTTGAGCGTCCACATGAAAATGTTAAACACACTTTATGTTGTGGGGGTCGGCCCAAGCGGTTGGATTTGGGCGCCAAGACCCACCGTGGGGCGAAATATAGCCAAACAAACGATGCCAGCTCAAGCAACCGAAAATGACGTGCCGAGGACTGTGTTGCCAACGACTACTAGGATGGAAGGTGGATGTGGAGGACATGCCTGGCAGGGATAAGCAGACGGAAGTGAGGAAAAAAGAAAACAACGTGGCCAGACCCAGGCCCAGGCACGTAAGCAGTTTATGCGCCCACCCATATCTCCCCTCAAGAAGCAAAAATAAGAACTGAGAGCCCCCCATTTTTTGGCTGCTGCTCGCTCGCTCGTGCGTTGGTCCTGCCAGCCTGCTTGTTTGCCTGCCTGCTTGCGATTTTGGCAAATACGGCACCAAATTGCCGTTTAAATTTCTCCCATTGGGGGCAAGGATTGGGGCGGCCTTGAAACATTATTATGACGGTTACGACTGTGGCCGTACGTTCTTTGGGGTTTGTCAAAACATTCCGGCCAAACAATGCCAACAACTTTATATACAAGTATATATAGTAGTATTGTATATTTGGAGTTGTGGCTGGGCTTGTTCTGGAGCCTGGCAAATGCTAACTGGAAGCTATGTCTCCCATTGGTGTCTGGCCTCGTTTGTCAGGTGGCGTCGCAAGACTCCCTGGCTTTGTTTATCGACAGATATATGCGTCTGGCGGCAGTAAGCCGGAACGGGCGAACATTTGTTACTTTTTTTCGGTCTAGCTAATTAAAAGTTGTTCAAGGTACATGCAAATTTTGCCGCTGGCTACCGACACGTGCCACTGAATACATCAAGTGGCTTCCAAGGAATATAAGACAGAGTTTTTCTTTTTTCTACCCAACGCTTGTCAAAATTGTCGAGTATTGTTTTGTGTGTTTGTAGGAAGCAAACTGTGGAAAACAAGAAAAATGATTGTGGACATGTTCCCAAGACATGACAAGCAATTGGTTCAAAGAGGTTCGAGATGCGTTTGCATAGACATTTGTATGAGTTGTAATGTTTGGGAAAGTTTCTAACTATATGATGCAGAATGGAGAATAAAGACTTCTGCTGAATGGAAAAAGTATGCTGAGTTTTTGCATTTGTCTTAATAACGTATGAAATATATATATATATATAATATAATTTGAACTAATAATTTTAAAAAGATCTGCAATTATTCATAGCGTGTATTTTACAAATTTTAATAAAACAGAGAGTATGCAATTTCCTCATTTCATAAAAGAAAGCGAAACATTAGATCTATATAACCTAAAAAGCCACCAGATTCCCTATGATTCTTTACTTAAAGTGTTTGTTTATAAATTAATATGGGATTTACTATTGAAATTCGTCAAAAAATAACTCAACTAATAAAAGTTAATCATATGTAGGTATAATTTGTATTGGAACTCACGTAGGGATGTCTCTTTTATTGCTTTAACTAATGAAGTCTCAATCCTTAATTGGGCTTCGCTAGAGAACTTTTATGTGATGAGAACCTGTGCAGGGCGTCAGGTGCTAGGACTCTCTGTAGTTAATAGAAACGTCATGCCACATATACATGCTATACAGGTACGAGTATACAAGTATATCTTTCTTCTGTTTTGGAAACTGAAATTTCATCTCCGTTATTATTATTCATAGTGTGTATTTTACAAATTTTAATAAAACAGAGAGTATGAAATTTCCTCATTTCATAAAAGAAAGCGAAACATTAGAGCTATATAACCTAAAAAGCCACCAGATTCCCTATGATTCTTTACTTAAAGTGTTTGTTTATAAATTAATATGGGATTTACTATTGAAATTCGTCAAAAAATAACTCAACTAATAAAAGTTAATCTTGCCATATGTAAATATAATTTGTATTGGAACTCACGTAGGGATGTCTCTTTTATTGCTTTAACTAATGAAGTCTCAATCCTTAATTGGGCCACGCTAGAGAACTTTTATGTGATGAGAACCTGTGCAGGGCGTCAGGTGCTAGGACTCTCTGTAGTTAATAGAAACATCATGCCACATATACATGCTATACAAGTACGAGTATACAAGTATATCTTTCTTCTGTTTTGGAAACTGAAATTTCATCTCCGTCGAGTAATTCATTGTGTTTTCTGTGTGTAGCGCATCAAAATTAACTGCTAAAATATTAGCAAAGCAACCCATCCATCTGACGTGCCAGAGCTATTGCGTGGACCTGAAGCTGCCAGTTTCTCCACAAGCGCCGGTGGCGCATAACAAAAGCAGGCAGCAGAGAAAAAAAAATGAAGAAAAATTGCGGCATGTCAGTTAAAGGCACAACAACAATAAAGAGGACAAACAGACAACATGAAGAAGACGTCGCTGCCAGGAGGAAAATGTAATAAGTGTGTCTATTTGTTCGCAAATATTTCATTTCCTTTGCCTTTTGTCGCTCCAAATGGCCATCCACCCACCCACCAATACATACACATACACATCCACACGCACACACAATTCCAAAACTATGTGTGCGTGTGTGTTGCTCGAGCTGATGACGTTTTAGTTTATGTTATGTTATAGTCGTGATTTACACAAGACAATAGCAAATAATGCTCGCATTAGCCTTTTCATAATTTGAACAAATGTTGTTTGTTGATACACCGAAAAGAAATAGTTCAGTAAATTCTTATAAAATCTGATCACACAAAAAACAATCATTAATAAGAAATTATGCATAATATTTTCCATATTTTAGATCGTTCCTAGTATGGTAGTATTTGCTAAACAATTTGATCTAATATATTGTAAATTTTCCAAATCGTTTTGAATCTGTAATAATTTATATTGAAGAATAATGTTATAAGGTCTCTGCCTCTATAATCGGTCCATTTAATATATAATTAATTTATACAAATTAGAGTATCATATGATAGATGAACACTGGAAAATGGTTTTTAATTATAAGTTAAGCTTTAGATGACGATATTTGCCACAAAGTTTGAATAAAATATTGTACCATAGACGATATAAAACTGTTTCTGTTACCATCTAAGCCAATATTTGCTTCTATTGCCTGCCAGTTTTGATGACTATTGCCATTTTCGGTTACTGAATCCAATTAGCTCAAATGAATCCGTTATGTTGAAGGCCAAATCAAATATATGCTATTTCCGACAGCTACCTTATATCACAGCAATTTCTCCCTCAAAAAAGGATCGAATTCATCGCTTTATTTCGATACGATCTGAATGTGTGCTTTTGTTTTGTTTCCTGTGTACACTTTTATGGATGTTTACGAGCCGGCGACAATGGCGCCGCAGCCATTGAACTTGCCGGAAATTTAACTAATAAATGTAAATAGGCAGCAACAAAAAGGATAAAAATGGCGTGTGCAATTTACAAAAATGCATAACATTTATGGTGGCTGGGAAGCGAAAAAAGAGCGCACGCAGCACATGTTGCCCGAGCGAAGCACTGAATGTTATTAAAAACAATATAAACAACTTGCCAGGACACAGCAGGAAGCCGTCGCCATGTTGTTTATGCGTGTGGGTGCGTGCGGGTATGTGTGGCTGTGTGTGCGTTTAAACAATGAAAAGTGGCGTAAACCACAAAGTACCACTTGCCAGCAAGTGTAACATGTTTAGTGTGTGGGAACACGAGCTGGAGGAGGGGCACGAGCAGGCACAACTTGGAGCGCAATTTTCAAATTGACTTTTGCACATGTTGCCATCGCACAGTGAGTCCTTCCCTGGACAAAGTGCAAAAAAATTGTTGGTAATGAACACAAATTGAATACTAATTAATCCTATTGAACTATAAAAAGCCTGCAGTCCATCATCGGTTCGAGTTATTTCTTAGAATTATTAGAAAAGGTTATTAAATTTTTGACAAAAACTTTAAATTAATAGTGATTCAAACACATTCTTGCGGTTTCGCAATCCAAATATTATCATAATAATATTTTGTTTGATTGCAATGCCTAATGAACGATATTTTATAATTTCATATTTAGCAGTTATTTATTGAAAATCTTAATTTTAATTTTTGTTCACTTCGCACACACATTCGAAGCACTGTTCGCTCCCGCAAAATGTAGAAGAGGCAAAAATAAAAGAAAAACTGAACACAATAGCTGCACATAACGGTTAACCACAAGCTGTGCAAAAAAGCCCATGTAGAAGATGAAGTCGAAGCCGGCCAAGTTGTAGAAAAACAAAACAAAAACACAAAAATGCATTTGCGGCTGTGCTAAAACGTGCCAATTGAGCGCGTGAGTCGCATAAATAAATGCCTCTTAGCCTGCTGCTGGTTTCTGACTGCTGCTGTTGCCACAAAATAACTTGGCCAAAAGTTAAATAAGCATCAGAAAGGCATTAGGTGGAAAATATGCAAGCATAGCTGATGAAATATTAAATTGTTACTCATGCGCTTTAAAAAACTGAGCATACTTTTTAAACTAAGCGATGATCCTGCTTGCGTGAATTGGTATATCGATTATTGTGTTTGCTCAGCGATAGGTCGACGCTTAACAACACTCAGTTTACAGTGCTGCAAACGATCACAGCATTTATTTCTGCACACACTCTCACATACATTCGCAAAGGGGTAGGCAAGAACAAAAGAGCGCGCTTGTGTGAGTTTGTGTGCACGAGAGAGAGTGAGAGAGAGAGAGGGAGAAAAAGAGCGCAAAAAAGCAAGCCGCACTGACAGCCACAGCTACAACGGCAAACGGCGTCAGTGGATTTAGTTTTGTTCGCTGAGTGCGCGTAGTTCCAAGTTGGTTATTTCTTTCTCGCTTTTTTTTACCCTTGCGCACTTTCCAAAGTTAATAACAATTATTATTTAAAAACACACTAACAAATTAACAAAACAAAGAACAATAAGTTAAGCGCGGAGTGCGAACGCTGGTGTGCGCAACATGTTAATGACAAATGTGCAGACGCCGCTGAAATTGAGCATTAAAAAGACACAGAATGGTGTAGTCGCAGCTGCGGCTGCGTCGGCGTCAGCGTCGGCTGCGCTGGCTCGCAATGGCAACAACAATGCTGCGGCCTCGAACATTGACGAAAGCGAATCTGATGAAGAATCCGATCTGGATATTGAGGAGGAGGATGATGATTTGTTGGACGCGGAAGTTGACGATGTGGTGCTTCAGATTGATAGCGAAGAAGAAGCGGAGTTGGAGGCCCAGCGCATTCGACTGGATGACATGAAAGCCGCAAAAATTGCGGCCGAAGTAGCAGCAGCGGCAGAAGCTGCAGCCGCAAAAACAGTAGCAGCGACAGCAACAAGAAAAACATCAGCGCCGCAGTCCCAGGTCAGTAACGGTAAATGCGCGATTGTGCAAACGAAGGCGCCAGCGCGCAAGAGGCGTGGGCGTCCCCCAGGCAGCAAAACACGGAAGCCGCGCAAAAACTCAAATAGCTCTCTGGCCTCTACGAGCACCGTAGCCTCCTCGGGCGTAAGCGTCTCGGAAGCTTGGCAGATGTGCGCACAAATCTATGCAGATGAAAAGTTGCGTCGATTCGTTTACAGCTGCATGGGCTGCACTCTCCACTATAGTATCGATGTCGCGGTAGCTCAGCACTGGCGAGCACAACATAACCCTGAACTGGATCAGGACCACTCAAAGCCTCTGCGGAAACGCGGAAGGGCTAAAGCTGCGGCGGCGACGCCGCCAGTATGCAACGAAGAGGATTCACAGCTGGTTGGTCTCAGCATCAGTGAAATGAAGCAGTGCGCTCAGCTCCAATTACTGATCAATGAAAAGCGATTGCAGCAACTGTGTCGGGAATGCAATGCACAGTTCGACCAATCCGATGACTTGTACACGCATCTCAGGGAACAGCATAATGTGTTCCAATTGCTTGTGCCCAAGGACGAGCCAGAGGAGCAACAAGCGCCCCCAGTCCCTGCTCCCACACCACCGCTAGCCATGGTCACCATACCATGCGATCTGACTCTGACAAAAACGATTCCGATGGCATTGCCCATACCAGCGCCTGAGACGCCGCCGCCGGAGCAAGATCCCAAAGAGGCGGAAGTTAAGGAGCCAGATGTCAAGGAGGTGGAAGTTAAGGAGCCAGATGTCAAGAAGGTGGAAGCAAAGGAGCCAGAGGTCAAGGAGGTGGAAGTTAAGCAGCCAAATGCCAAGGAGACGGAAGTCAAGAAGCCAATTGTGCAGGAAATAGAAGTCAAGGAGCCAGATATTAAAGAGGTGGCCCAGAAGCAAAAAGCCCAGGAGCCGATGATCAAGAATCTGATAGCCGAGGAGCCCGAGGCCAAGGATCAAAATATAAAGCAGCCGAATGGCGAGGCAAATGATGCTAAAGCGCATAATCTCAAGGAGCCAGATGCCAAAAAGCAAAATCTAGATAAGTCAGGCACTATTGATAATGATTATATAGAGCTGATTGACACAATGGTGGCAGATATAGAAGAAAAACGGCTACCAAAGCCAAACAATCCCAGCGTAAATAAGATGGTTATTAAACTGCCGCCAGCCAAGCGTCCGGCAGCTCGTGCGAATCGCAAGCGCAGCAGGGCCCAAATAGAACAACCCGAGGTAAATAAGGTTTGGCTATATTAAAATGCTTAATTATCATCATAATTTCAATTTAATGTTCTTGCAGGAGTCGAAGAGCGGAAAACGCGTGCGCAGTCGCAAGTCCGACAAATCATCAGAACCGACTGTGGAGCCACAGAGCGAGGAGGATGCTGAACAGAAAAAGGAGGCGAGTCAAGAGAAGGAACAGCCAAAGGACAATGTTGAGCAGGAACAAGCGAAGGGACAGAAAAAAGAGGAGCAGCAAACGTTGGATGATATTAAAGAGGAGCCAGAAGCTAATGCGGAATCAACTAGCGTACGACGCGACCGCAAAGCACGTAGCTTCGTCGACTATGTGATGGATATAAAGGACGAGGATGACGATGCCGATGCAGATTTTCAATGCAGTTCGACCAGCGCAACAGTGTCGCCCAATGACAGCATGGAGCTGAACAGCTCTACGGATAATAGTCAACCAACTAAACGCTCACGTCACGCCGACTCCATTAAGCGCGAAGCTTCCATGGACTCTCAACGCAATCCGAACGCTAAAGGCGAAATGGTCCACACTTGTAATCTGTGCAGCAAGACCTTCAAGCGATTCTCTCGCATGCAGGATCACCTACGTCTGCATACTGGCGAAAAACCACATGTGTGTGGCCAATGTGGACGCGCCTTTCGCTTGAAGATGCGGCTGGCCGAGCATCAGTTGCGTCACCGTGCTGAAAAGGCTTTCAAATGCGAGATCTGCGCATTGCCACTGGCGACCAAACAGGATCTGACGCTGCATATGCGGCACCATAAGAACGATCGCCGATACAAGTGTGACTGTTGCCAAAAGGCGTTTGTACGCAGTTCCGATTTGGCCATTCATGTGCGCGTCCACACCGGTGAAAAGCCCTATTCGTGTGATATCTGCGGCAAAGCGTTCCGGGCGCGCCAGAATCTTGTAGTCCATCGACGCACCCATCTTGGCGACAAGCCTATTCAGTGTGAACTGTGCGACAAGCGCTTCTCGCGCAAGATCGACATGCGGGTACACATGCGAAGACATACAGGTAAGTTTTCCAGAGTGAACAGCAATTTTGAGATAAACACGGAGATTATTAATTTCAATGTTTCAGCTATTCAGTTGAAATCATGATTGGAGTAATTTGGCGTGACCAACCACTAATATTTATATTTTTCTTCAAATGTCTTCCACAGGCGAAAAACCCTTCACGTGTGAGGTTTGCAAACGCGGCTATTCGTCGCGCGTCAACCTGCAGCGACATCAGGAGCGCGAACACGATCCGCAAACGACGACAGCGGCAGAAGCAAGTGCACAAAGCGAGGAAGAAGTGGCGCCGAGTGAGAGTAAAAAACGGCGCACGCGTCGTCCGCGTCGGGAGAAGTTGCAGCAAAAGATAGCCGCACAAGAGAAACTGCTGGATGAGCTAAAGCGCACGCTTGTCGCATTGCCCGAAGAAGAAACGCTGGGCTCGCTGGCAGAGGCCAAAGTCAATATTGAGGATATGGGGCCGGCCGATGCGGGTGCCGGATGTGGAACACAGACAGCGCAGCTTTCAGTCACTGTTTCCATGCAAGTGGAGCCGGTTAAGTTGTCCGATAGTGCCGCCAGCGGTACGGTGGGTCACGACGACGTCGATCTGGAACTTACGCCGGAAAAAGAAAATGCTCTTTCCAGTTCTCCAGCGGCGACTGCAGTTAGCACTCAAAATGGGAAGCACAACAAGACTAATCGCAAGATAACGAGTTATTTCACGGTTGTGGGACAGCAGGCAGAAATTTAAAGACTTATGAACGTGGAGGGCCCTCACGCACACATTACTTACTCATTAGTTTCTACAAATATTTAATTTAGGACACCATTGTACTTCAACATTTACATTTCTGGGTAGCGCACACCTCGCAGTTGAACTTGGTTTGATAATTTTACATGAGCTTTTATACTTTACATCAGGGATTAAGTATTTCATTAATCGCTTTTACTAAGTTTGAAATTGAAAAGAGTAAGAAGGTAGATTGAATCGAAATTTGTTATAAATTGAAAACTTGAATTTTTAAACACAAGTGAAATGAATGAAATGGTTCTAGTAAGTGGCATTTCGATGATTGACGAATATTGAACGAAAGAAAAACACAAAAAGACTTCTTTTTAAAAGCATTAACTTATAAAAACAGCAAGAGACTGCAAAGCGTTTTATATACGAGTAAAAACTTTTACAAACAGCGAGACAGAGTCAACTACAAACAATATAGCATTAAATAATATTGAAAAAATAGTTATAGGTTAAGACATAAATCAGTTTAACGTATAAATTGATGACTATTTGAATGCGAAATGAAATGGGCAGATTGAGCACACAAAGGCATTTCTAATATTTGGCAAACACATTATGTTTACTCATTCAATTGATTAAGCTCCGAAAAATAGATACCTATTAGTCCATAAAACACTTATATAGTTCATTGAACGTGTAGATTAACTCAGCTGAATGAAATTTCTTATTTGTAATAAAATAGTTTATGAAATGTATTAATGTATTAGAGACATTAATAAATAATGTTAGAAATGCCAATTAAACAAAACGATTTGCCCATTTAATGCTTTTTCAATTGGCTTTCATGTTTTAGCCCCCATGAATTTTACACTTATAAATGTTAATTTAAAATAAAACCGCAAATCGAAAAATATTATGAAAACAAACAAGCGCACATGGGCAAAGGTTCAACATATGTAAACATTTTGTCAACATGCGATTCCCATTTCTGCGAATTTTAGAAAAAGGGAAAGAAAAAATGAACCTAAAATATTTGTAATTTCATTAGTTTTATAATTGAATGAACTGGATGGCGCAGACATAAAATTAAAAAGCGAATTACTAAACCATGCAGTTTATGCAAAAACTCCAATTACATACTCAAATTCCAAAATAGTTGTAATTACATAGAATTACGTTTATATATACATTTGATTGTAATGTTAGGATTTGCGTGTATTTTACACAGCTCTCTTCAACTCTATGCAACTATCTCAATCGCTGCTTAATATATTTATTATTTACACTTATTTACTTAATTTAATCGAATACCATTTACATGTATTCTAATTTCGAATGTAAGTTAAGCAAAAAGACACCGCATGGAAATAGCGAGAAGAACGAAGTCAAAGAAGTAGCAACAATTTTTCATTTGTGTTGCAATTCATATTTTATAGTATATACTTTATAAAGATAAATATTGCATACATTTAATTTACTTTAATTACAAAACAGTCCAATGAATATATAAGTATACATATATAATTAAATTTACATATTTTGCATAAAAATTAATGCCTGTGAGTGAAACGAAATGAATTCCATGTGTTTGTTGCTCTTCATTTCACAAAACCTAGAGCGGGGGTTGCAACACACCCCTTCACAATTGGCATTGTTCATCTGGTGGTGCGAGAGCCTTTGATTTGGCTTTTATTTTATGGTCGGGCAGCTGCTGCTTCCCCTGAGATTCTGTCTGTGGCAAATGTCATAGTTCATTTGAAATGGGGTTGCGTGGTAAGGTCTGATGTGTGGTTTAGTTTTGAAAAGGGGGTAGTTCTGCGAACATGGGAAATGAAGAAGAGAGTATATGGAGTGAAGAGAACACGGTCTATTACTCGATCTGAAGAGCATATCCAAAAAGCTATTTTAAAAAGTACTAAGGCGAGGGGTGAATGCATAAGACTAAGCGGGGTGTTCTTTTATCGCATCTAAAGAAAATTACATTTTCTTTAAAGAGTAAATATACAGTCAATACTAAATATGATTTTTCTATACAAGTACGTATTTATTTTTTAATTCTCCAATATAAATGTAATTGGAAAGTTCTACTTTCGTTTTAAAATATTAATATTTAAATGTGGTGGCACTCATATAGACATCTGTATATATGTAACTTGAAATTTAAAGTCTCACAAAGGACAATAAGGGATAATATCGAATAAGAACACGGAAATTATTTAAAGATTCTTATTAACTAAATTTGCGCAATATTTGAATATTCCTCGCATATATATTTTGAATTTACACTTGAAATTATTAACTTTTCTTTAAAGCAGTTTCATTTGTATACATTTTCTTGGCCACAAACTCGCTTGATTGCTTGATATTGTTACACTAGCCCAGCACTTCTTTGTCTTTTGTTGAAAAGTTAAAAAAACAACAGCGACGAAAGCGCCATCAAAACAGTAACAACAAAACAAAAAAGTCTTTCAGTAAAATCAGCAAAACAATAAACCGAAAAAAGCTAAAAAATGAAACTAAGCAAAACATGGTAAACAAAAAAAAAAAAAATTGTTGCTGCAATGCGAGTGTTTTGAGTTTCAATGCAATATTACGCATACGACGTGTGGTGCGCAGTTTCAATGCTATTCACTGCCAAAAGATAGCCAACGTGACAAAACATACGTACATACATATATACATAGCCGCATGCATATGCGCAGTTTTTTTTTTATTTGTGTGTTTTGTGCAAAAATATGCAAATTAATGTACGACTTTTGCCGTTACTGTTGTTTCTTTCTTTGTTGTTGTTGTTGTTGTCGTCGCTCGCTCGCTTGGCCGTCGTGTAGAAAGCGTAAAAAGTGGGCAGCAAAGCGACAAAAGCGCAAACAAGACAACGGCGAAAAAATACGTATACATATTATTTGGCTGGTGGTCGGAGAAAGAAAGCCGAAAAAACGAGTATACGCCCCGTTGTACAGTCAACAAAGCGATGGCGGCAGAGGCGGCGGCAAAGCGTGCTTTCATGTATGTATGCATGTATATATGAGTGTGTAAAAATGTGTGTGTGCAGATCGCTTCAAGCCAACCATCCGCCTCATCGCCAGCTGCTCAATGGCTGGCAGCGTCAGCAAATTCATAGTGTTTTTAATGCTTGTACGAGTATGTTGTGGGCTTTTAATTGAATTTTGTCGCAACTTTGCCGTTATATTTATTCGCCATGTGTTTTAATTCAGAACTACCAATACATACGAGCACATACATATATACCATGCAGCAGCAAAGAAGCGGCTTTGACACACCAACACTTATATGACAGCCTGTTCTTAACCAAAAACTTTGCTGGCACATGCGGTGTTGGTTAGTTGCTTGGTTTGTTTGTTTGTTTGTTTGTCTGTCTATCTGTCGCTTTGTCTTATTTATATGTATGTATTTGTATAAGTGTATAAGTCGCAATTGGTTTGCGTGACGTTCTGCGCGCTCTGCTTGCTGCACATTCTTTGCGGTCGTTAACCATGCGGCGAACGCCGCCGCAGTCTGTGGAACGTGTTTTGTTTTGAAGCGTCCTCTCTCACACAACTCTTGTTGTTTTTGTTGTCTGCGCTCTCGCTTTTTGCTGTTCGTTCTGCACATACATATGCATGTACATATGTATATTAGTAGACGCTGAGCTGTTTCTGTGCGTCGTTTTACAATACTATTGCGCGCGCTAGTCAATATTTTTGAATCGCCAACAGTGCGTATGCATAATTCAATTTCGTACTGAATATTTGAACGAATGGGAATGTGAATTATAAATAAACTGTGTGTGGCAATAGTTGAAGGAAAATATGTAATATGAACTATCCCAAGTATACATGTGTGATAATTGATGAACAAGCTGTATATAAAGTATTTCGATACTATTTGGTCTTTTAAATTTTCTTGCTTCCTTTTATGTTTTTAACATTTAAAAGTTAAGCCAATAATATTGTTTTTATTTCCCTTGCATTCTTATTCTATCTAAGAGAAATACAAGACCTTCAAAAAGTTCTTCCAGTATATAAATTGCAGCATTAAATTTAAAATAAAGCTGAAGTTGAGTTAATATTTCTCTCCACATTAATTTACAACCGTTGACAGCTAATCAAGCTGTGTGCATAAAATTATTTTGCAATAAATCATGCACCGATTTATAAATAAAAATAGGTTCATTTCCTCTGGCCATCAAAAAGATGCTGCAAACAAATAAACGTTAAAAAAATACACCAAATATAAATAAATAAATCACAAAAATGGACAGCCATGGGGAAAAGCAAACAGCCGGACCTAATTGGAAAAACAAAAAATCAAAGTAAACAGCATAAAAAAGGCACAGTCAGTCCCTTGGCCTGTGCGATAACAATAAGTGCGCAATGTGCAACTAACCGCTGAATGTGCATAATTTATAAAGCTAATTAAACGCGCATTTAACTAATTAAAAATATAGCGCGCTTCAATTATTGAAATATGCGCAGCGCGTGCCAATTATGATGAAGTTGAACAAAATTTGCAATTAAAATGCGAGCTCAAAAAATACAAATAGACAAAGGGCAGGCCTTGATTGAAATTGTAATGGAACTTTTTGGGGCATGTTCATGGAATATTGAGTGTGCAACGTGGCGTATGCGCAACGCTAATCAAAATGTACATTACGTATACGGCCGCGTGACAGCGGGCGGGAGTGGGAAATAGAAGTGCGTGGTGGGGTTTGTTTCAGTCATGTGTTGTAGGCGGCTTAAACACTAATTTGCTGTAGTTCCTCTTGTTATTGTTGTTGTTGCAATGTCATGATATAAAACGATTTTTTGGCTTTTAGCAGCCAAATACTAATTGACATTTTGCTATGCGATGAGCGCGCACACATACACACGCGCACACACATTGATTTACACAGATATACACAAATATACTATAGATACGCACACACACCACTACTTTCGCAGCTTACAGTTGCTGTGCGTCTGCTTGCCATGTGCAAAATAATTTCAATTAAGCAATTAGCGCCATTGAAACAAATCCAACACGTTTTGTGGCTTATGAACTGAACTTATCGTGTCTCACCGCATCCCATTGCCGCTATTCTCGTACTGCCACGGCTGTTGTTGTTACCGCGGCCTTTTTGTTTAGCTTATTAGCCGCTAATGCGTAACAACCACAGCAACAACACTCAATATAAATACATATGCAAAACGTTTATCCTTGTCTGAGTTACTGTTTCCAATTTGCAGGTAACCGAATTTCGTGAATTTTGCATTTGCAGATGGGAGATCACATGGATATACTGAATATAAAGGCCTTTTCGGAAACTCAAGGGTGTTTCGACTATGCGATGGTGTTTGCCAAACGGGTTTATATGCATTACATTTTGTCATTTATTTTTTATTTAATTCGAGAAATACGAAAAATATCTCAAATTGCTTGACTAATATTTAAAATTAGCTGGACTATATTTTTTTCATGCCTTACACACTGATACTTAGATTAAGGGCGTCATTCGGGTAGACTCTAAGATATACAAGTATATGTATGTAAGGTAAGATATATTCAGTTGTTTGTAGTATTGAACCAATTTAAATAAAACACTCTTGTGGTATAATTCGTTAAGCAAATTAATTGAAAATAAAATCTCATTTTCCCCAGCTTAGAATAGACAATAAATATTTTTGAAACTACTTGAATGGTTCATTCAAAAATAGTATCAAAGAAGAAGAAAATATTTTATTTCAAAATCCCAAAACCTATTTTCCTACAATCTTTCTCTGTGGCATTTCAGAGAAAACTTTACTTTACTAAACTTCGAAACATTAATAAAGAGGACGTTTAATTCAATTTTATAAAATTTTGTGTAGAAATGAACTAAAAACCTTAGAAAAAGCTAGAATAACTTGCTATTCCATCTAGACACAACCGCGAGTTTTTTGTAAAAGAGGGCAGTTGACTGTACTTTAAAAGATATGTTGCAAGGATGGGTAGATTTGAGGTTTCTATCAAAAAAATTCGCATGCGAATTATGATTATTTGTTTTAGGCATATTCACACCTCGCCTTCTGAAAAAATTCAACTGATTTCTGTGTTTTTATTGGTTCTTCTGTTAGGATTCATTTAGTGTATCTATGCGAGTTTCGCACTTTATTCAATTAAACCCCAAACGTATACATGAACACGAATGTATATTTATTGACACTGATCTATATATGGATGCAAATATTTGCACCCGAGCGGCTTAAATTTGTAGCACTTTGTGTGAAAGGCATTTCATAAATTTTTGAATATATGATTTGTGTGTGAGTGTATGTATATGCATGGATTAAGTGCGTTACACAGTTATGTATGTAAGTGTGTGCCTGAGTGTGATTGTGGGCGTTGACGTCAATGTTTCCAATAGTTGACTGCAGCACATTGTATTGACGTCAACGCTCCCTGTGTTAAGTACAGAGTACATTATTAAAATCCGCTTAAGTAGCGGTTCGGTGAAAGCAGCCCGGACTTTCGATGCGTGTGCAATTCGCACTTTAATAAAGTTTTCAATTTTTAAATTACACTGCAAATTGAATTAATTTTTTAATACAATTAACGACTTTCGTGTCATAAATGCACGAAGAGCGCAAATGTTTGCTTCATTATGTGGCATCTCAGGATATTTATTTCTGCTATGAATGTAGAATAAAAATCAATTTACTTTCCTGTTATTTGAGATAATCATAAACAGATAATTATAATAACCATTCGAAACCCACATTCACTATTTTTTACGAATTTGTTGCCCTTTTTAAAGGGTTTTAAATGAATTCAATAAACACACAATGTTAAACAATTGTCCACACAACAAAAGCTTGTCTTATGCAAACATTTAACACGCATTTGTTATTTAAAGTCCAACTAATTTTCCACGGGCTTAATCTTAAAACAATAAATACCGACATTGCAACAATAGCAACGACACAACGAAAATGAGCTAAAAAAACAACAACGCAAGATAAACAACTCATTAAAAAGAAATTAAACTGCCATGAAATGCACTACGTCACTCATACGCCCTGTTGTTTGAACAAGCTGGTGACGTTGTAAAGAATTTATATTTTGGAGGTGGAGTGCAAAATAAAGTGCACAGCACGCCTTTCTATAGAATGTTTGATGAATACTTATTAATGATACCTCTGTGAGCAAATAATTCACATTTGTAGAAACATATAATTGCACATTTTTCAAATTAGTCGTAAATGAAATGAATGCAAAAATTAAATCAACTGATGTATGCATTTAAATGTGTGACTCGTTTGCTTATTCATTTTTGCATCAATATTCATTATTTTTAGAACCAGAACATCTATTTATAGAGAAAATACTGAAAGCCGGTTTTAGCCAACAGTTTCTCGTTCGGAAATCTGTTAATTGATGTGCATTTGGAAGGCGTTGACACAGTTGCTCTTTTCATCCTATCTCTACTTTATCTCTACTATTTTCTTGTTATGATGTCAATGCAGGTAGGTAGATGACAAATGGAGAAAATATGACGTGCTAGTAGACCACGTGAAAACACTAAATATAATTAGATAATACTCTTTAGCTCGAGGGCTTTTAAATGATAACAATACAGTCAATTATTTGACTGATAGTGTTTTGAACATGTATGCATACATGTTTACAGTATTTGTAAGATTTTGGTCATGCAAAGTGTATAATTGGAAGAAAATATATTTTCTGATATATACAAGTAGTATCCATATTTTGTAACGTATACTATTTGAAGTGCTGTAGAAAATTCCTTATAGTATTATGTTTGAAATAAAAATTCTAATTAAAGGCAGTACATTTACTTTGAATAAAAGGTAATACTTGTATTATATTTCAAAAGAAACTTGAATTCTGTCTGAAAGTGCTGCTATACCTTTTGGACAATGGCCATTACTTATACGCAGGCAAAGGCCTCATTCAGGCACAGAACCGAGCCATCATAAACAGAGCAAGCAAACACTTATTCTCAGCAATGTACACAAATAAAAATGTAGTAGGTACAATACAATTTAATTAATTAACACAAATTTTGAGTTGTATACAGCCCCTTATGGGCACAAGACCACCAAAGCAGCAGGCAATCGGTAGGCAGTTGGGGTTGCCAAGAAAACACTCGACTCGCTTTGGCTCGACTTGAGTTGACTTCAGTGGACTTGAATCGAAATGGCCCACTTGACTGCAACTTTAATTAACTGGAAACGGAATTTTTTGTTTTTGAGCGGCCAACACAAGGCAAACAAAACGGGCCAAAGGGGGTTGAGCAGCCGACCCAATGAGATAAGGAGCACCAAGTGCATTGTCCACTGCTTTGAGTGTAAGTCTGTCTACGGGTATGGGGGAGTAGTGTGTATGTGTGTGTGTGTGTTAAATCAATGTAGTGCACAATTTATTAGCTAATTGCCTTATAATTTATAAGGGCCAGTGGCACAACAACGAAATGGTCGAGCACAAACAGAAATACTTATCACAAGAGCTTTGAATTTGCCTTGTGGTCGTAATTATTTGGCTGCTGCAAATGATAGTGAGCGTCTCGGAGAGACTTGCGTCGGCAATTAATATTTATTAAGCTGTGAAATAAATTTCTTCAATATTTGTAAAATGTGTATTTAGAAACAGTTCAACAATTTCTAAGAAGAGAGTCTAATTATTTTATGTGCCACTCGTGCTATTTACTTAAGTCACATGCTAGTGCGAACAGTAAAACATCTTTGTGATGAATTAATTATGACGAATGGTACCAAATATCAGATTTAGTTCTGCTTGTAAATTTCAAGTCTGGAGATGCTAAACATTGCCATAGAAGTTAATATATAGTATATAAAATAAAAACTATAATTTTTCATGAAAATAATTTTACCCTTTCCGATGATTTACGATGTGTGAAAAATTTTAGCTGGATTTATTAAGTTATAAAGCCATTGCCACGTCTTGCTTTTGTTTTTAATTAAACTGAATTAAGATTAATTTATGTTATTGTTTAAATACTCCTGCACCGGATTGAAAAAGTGAGTTCACTTTTTGTTCATTTCCTAGTTAATTTGAAATAAAGAATTATAATACCCAGTTAGACTTTGGGCTAAGAAGACATGACATCTAGGTTACACCTAACAAAGTATTCCAAAAATAGAATTAGTTAGTTTGGACTGGTAGTTCGACTTTAGCCCATACCTAGCGCCCTAACAACAACCTAAGTACATTATTTTACATTTATTTATGCAAATCGACAGCCATACTATTATGAATAATTTTTCGCAATATATTCACATCAGTTGCAATAGATTGATTTTAAAATTGTTCGTTGAAATGAAGCTCAACTGTCTGCGGTTTTTTAGCGCACATCCGACTATACCAGTCGTACATACCACAAATTGGTTAAAAAATTTCATACAAACTGGGCAAATAAACAATTAAACAATGACCGCTTAGCTCAAAAATTTCAGGTTGTCTGCTTGAGGTGTGAGTCACTCGAGTTACTTAGTTTCTTTTTTCCGTTGAGTTTAGAACTTCAATATTTATTTGAGCGGTAACTATGCAGACTTTGCTTTGGTATTTTGTTTATTTATATTGTACGTCTTTATTTACGTCGTTCTTTGTTATTGTTTTTGCTGCCAGGAAGTTCTTGACGCTGCACTTGGGCTACGTGATGGACCTTAAGCCGCAAATTGTGAAATGGGCAGTTGAGGTTTGTGTTGCCACGCAAAAAAAAAAACGAGTTTTTGATTTGTGTACATTTTTATAATGAACTCGTCACTTAAATTTGGTGTCATATGAATGCGAATATTAGTCAGTCTGAGCTCAGATTTATGACAATTATGAAATGACTTTGGAAAGTTTCTGTGGAGGCGATAATTGACAATATAATATGCTAATGCGACTAACTGGCCTTTTGCGAACTGGGCGTTTTGCACACTGCCCCAAAGGATCTGTAACAAACAGCGGATTTATATGGATTAGTCACTCAATGAAAAGTTAAAAAAATTCGAATATTTTTGATGTTGCGGGCCTTTTCTTTAAAAATGTGAGATATGCAGCTTATAAAAAGCTTTAGAACATGTGGGCAACCGATGCATTATTTTGATGCAATTAAAATGATCAACAATTGAAACAACAAATATGAAGTTAGATTCGTCAAAAATATCGAGAATTCTTTGTTTCGAACACTTTAAGCAGCTTGGAGTTCTATTTAATGTACAATTTTAAGAACTTCGCTTGCTTTTATATTGAGGATTGCCTAATATGAGTGGAAAAATGCAGTTACCTCGAATCTATTTTTTAGCACACTTTTTGTCATTCTTTAAAACCATTAAAATGCGATTCTATTTAAATCCATAACACATCTTAATCACTTGAGGGAATAACATTGTTCACGTGAGATTCTGTTATCAGCATAGTTATAGTATACAAAAGAAGCACTATTTATTATTCGAACAGACGAAGTAGCTTTAACAATGACAGATTTGGACGCACGCGTAGTATATGGTGGAATAATAAAAAGTTCATAAAATTTAGTTCGTCCCACACGGCGTATGTGTTATAAAAATATTTATATTATGTATACGTAGAGTATTGTTCCATTCAGAGACTTACATGAATGCTTCCACTGCTGAAACTTATGATACAAAAAGCACGCACATATGAAGAATATGACGAACACAATGAGGAGTGTGAGTATGACGCCAATCCAAATATCGCTCACAACATGGGCGTAATCGTCGCCATCGTCGCCTCTATAAATGCGCGATCCATGCGCAACGCGAGGCGGAGGAGCACGTGGAGCCGTAATGACATCTTTGAAGAGCAAATCGTCTGCCACATCAGCCACATCGCTGGCCGCTACAGTGCCGCCCAAGTTGATCTCCACCTCCTGGCGATCGATGGTTATGTTGCCGAGTGCCGAGTCCAGGCCCAGAGCCAGCTGTTCCAGTTTATTAATCAGCACAGAATAATTGCTGGGCAAGTCGAAATTGCTCAGATCCAATTTCTCTGCACTGCTGGCCGTTGCATTGGCAATTGTGGCATTGAGGCTGGAGGCATTTAAGTTGTCGCCCACAAGGCCGCTGCCCAATATTGTGAATGTGTTGTTGCTACTGATGATGCTGCCGCTGCCGCTGCCGCTGTTATTGTTATTGTTACTATTACTGATGGCATCTGCATCATCAAGGTCCGCAAACAAAGTGCTGGTCAAATTGAGCGCCTTCAGCAAGTCGGGCATGTTGTGTAAAGGCTTTTTATTAATATTCGAAATAATAGTAGAAATACGCGTGCTGTCCAGCTCAGATAGGTAGCAGCTTCATTTCGCGACTGAAAACCGTGGCCGAGTGTAAAGTTGCAAATATTCTGTATAGCTTTTTGTCAGCTACGCTGCTATACGTATATATTTTTCTCAACAATTTTATGTATATGAGGTTTTTTTCACTTTTCAACTAATTGTATTAACGCATTCGTGTTAATTCATGCCATACGCATCTCTACTACGATTTTGTATCTTGTACGAGTAGATACTTTATTCATTGCCTAGCAGGGCGGCGCTCTCATTGCTTATTTGTTGTGCAAATATTGATTGTTGTTATTTAACTCCTTGAGCGCGCGGCAACGCATCGCATTTATCTTAGTAATAAACATTTGTAAATAAAATATTGAGAGGTGTGTATGCGAGTGTATTTGTGTGTGTTTGTGTGTGCATATGTGTTAGTCTCTACTTTATATTGCGTGCTCCCCGGCAGGTACTCGCATATCAATTCGTTTGGTTTTATTGATTTGCGAATTAACAACAACCCACAATGTGCTGCGCATTGCAGTGCCACAAATAAATTCTCAACTCTATAAAAGTGGGCTAAAAAATTTACCAGCTAACAGTTATTGGCTATCTGTGTGCCGAGCTTTGTGCGAGTGTGCTCTGCTCTGTTTCGTTTAATGTTTCCCTCTGCTGGCTGTAAAATCATTTTTGTTTAGCTTTCCAATTGGCAGCTACATGCGAAGCCACACGAAGGACACACACGTGTGTGTGCCTCTTGAGTGGGTGCAGCGTCCACTGCACCGGGTGTGTAAATGAAGCTGACAAAGTTGTAATTGATATATATATATACACGTACATATATAGTATAGATAGTTTGAAAAATTGGAAATTGCGGAAGCTACAAAACAAAAGGCGAGCTTCAAGTTTGTGGCTTCGGAACTACATGCAACTGTTTCTCGATGAAAAATAAGTTTACAAAGGACATATAACATGACCAGCAGTAAATAAAGTTAACAATAACTAATGTTTCTTTGCCCTTACACTAATTCAGCAGAATTGCTGACTTGATAAAAGTAGCTATAAAATTAAAAAAAGCCAATTCGCTACCTTAACTGAGCTTAAAATTGTTGTTTACTCTTTTTCGATGAACCCAATACCGCTTTTATTTCTATTTTAATGTAATCATATTATAGCTTTGCCATCAATTACCAAACAAACGGAAATAGTCAAAATTTTAACACTTACTGTACGGTGTGTTCAAAGCTTAGCTCAAGGTGTACTAATTATTGTGCTAATAATTGAACAAGTTAGCTATATAGCACGATTATATGAAAATAACTTTTTGGAAAACAAAATTAAAATATGTAGCTTCACATATCTTTTCTAGGTGACAGCTTTTTATACTAAATCCAAAGTATTTCTAAAAAAACTTGCATAGCTACGGTTTGGTCTAATATTAATATTATACAATATCATACTTTAGCTAAGACGAGGAAATAATAATTTATTGCGGTTGCTTTAAGTTTTCGCGTAATTTTTAATCTGAAATTCCCAACATAAAAGCTTCCATTCAGCAGTCATCAATTATTTTAAAGCTGATTAGAGCTGTCAATTTTTCTAATATCTTGCATAAATATCAATGACATTTTGGCAATTAAGTGGATTTTGAATTGCTTGAGAGGGTGAGGTGGTGGAGAGCTAGGAATGCTATATTTCTTTATACCAACTAAAGAAAGTTGTTTATAGCAGTGGGTTATTGATCACAGGTACTAGTATCGTCGTATATAATCGCACGGTAACTCTCAAGAGCTAGCGTCCTACTCACTACTTTCAATAATGGAGCGTTTAAAAATACACGCTTGCTCGAATAATTTAATAAATTAATAAATAAATAAATTAATTAATTTTAATATCAAATTAAGAATGTCAAAAATATATACGTTTTTTTTAATATTTCACACCTTTATTGCAAAATTTGAACATATAATACCCAGATTTGGTTTATTTGTATGTATGTATATAGGAATGTAAGTAGCGAAATATATGATAGGCATACAAATTTCATCGGCACCAATGGCATAAATCAGGCCACTACTTTTATCTATGTTTTCGAAAAATAAAACCCTCAATTGACTCAATTGTTTACCGAAAAGATAAAAGGCATTAAAAAGCAAGACATATTATTATCATACACGTATGTAGATATGTACGAGTATATGTATGTATGTATATGGTTAAAGTCATAATCACTTGTAACGGGTGTCATTAATTAATAAATAAAGCGAAAATGTTTAACTTTTCGACACCTGTAGCCCCACTTTGCATATACATAAGAAAGCAAAATGGAGTGAATGAACTGAAGTTACTAGGGCGGGCAGTTGTTGCCAGGCCTCTGACTAAGCAACAGCAGAGAAAGTCTATACTTTAGACTTATGCATATCTTTATCTGCTCCGCATCTAAATACACTTTCCCGTGCCTTAATGCATACATTTTCTTCCTTGTTGCCATGGACCTTGTTGTTCAAAAGAAACTTCAACTACGGAGTGCTCTTAAAACCATCATGTCTAAAAAGTCTTGGACTTGGGTTATAATGCTGATCCAAAAAGAATATGCCCTTATATTCTGCATTTCAGTGCAGGGTACAGAAAAATAAGCAAAAGTCGTGCAGAGGCGATTGCTAAGATGTCAACAGACGATACAGCGAGTAACGGTGTTGCATAAATTTGAGTAATTTGCTGGGAAAGGAGAGAGCGCTTGAGAGGCCAAAGCAAACACAATCGGTTTCAATTGCTCTACATATCAGTATTAAGAGAGACGCGTCGTCATCGCTCATCGGTTATCGCTAATCGCATAGCCCCAATTCCCCCTCTCCACCACAAAATGTCAACAGAAGAGGAATTCACGTTTCGACGAGAGCAGTGAGGAAAATGGTCCAACGGGCAGCAACTCAGTGGGAATTATGAAACATTTATATTCTCTTTGATAATGCTACGCACAATCTATTAATTATTCCATCTGCTTTCATTCCTATTCCACGTGGCAGGGATGTGCCTACTTTTTGGAGAATCTCCATGTGCAACCCCAGAGCCATTGAAGACGCCTGGCAATAATAACGTGGCGATCAACAGGTTATCTGATACCGAAATAATTAATTAAGAATGTGGAAAACAAGGGGCTAACAAGAAGTATTTGAGTATTTTATACCTTTTTCGGAACTGTGAAATTTAAATATTTAACAACAATAAACATAAAGACTTACAATATATGTATGTATTCTCGTTTGTACCTAGAATTTATTTATTTGTATGCATATAGGAAATGTCATTAACAATATATGATGGGCATAAAGATTTCATCACCACCAATGACATGTGTATATCACGCCACTGCAGCCTTTATCTGTTTTCAAAAAATAAAAATCCCCAATTGGCCCAATTGCTGAATGTAAAAATGTTCATAGGCCTTGTAGAGCAAGTCATAATAAGTATTATCATACAGGTATGTACATATATATGGCTTAAGTCATAAACACTGGTAACAGGTGTCATTAATTAATAAATAAAACGGAAAATTTCAGCTTTGCATAAAAGAAAGCAAAATGCTAATGAATGAGAGTGCGAAGAGGGCTGGTAGTTGTTGTCAGGCCTCTGAATAAGCAAGAGCAGATAAATTCAATACTTTATGTTTAACCGTTGTGTCTGAAAGAGTACAGAGGTGTCTGCGTCTGCTCCGAAGCTATTTATCCTTCACTGTGCCTTAATGCACATATTTGCATCTTCGTCGACGAGGGCCGGGAACTAAGTATCCTACTCTGACCTTACTATTTAAATTTTACCATTCGCGATTCTTGAGTGATGAAACACAATCGATTAAACAAACAACGCTTGGATTCGACATATTATCCTTGTCCGTCAGAAAGAAACCTCACCGTGACAGCTCAGAAGCTGTTGGAAGAGTAGAGACAAAAGGACATAAATTCGTGACGTAATTGTGATCATATATGTATTGGTGTTACAAACGTACCCTCTAGAGAGAATATACCCTTCTACATTTTAGTGAAGGGTACAGAAAATTAAGGTCAACTCGTTCAGGGGCGATTGCTTAGGCGTGAAGGAGGGCGTATCGTCTGTCGACAACAGCGAGTAACGGTGTCGTATAAATTTGAGTAGTCGGCTGGGGAAGGAGAGGGAGAGAGCATTCAAGTGGCTATAAGCAAACACAATCGGTTTCAATTGCTCTACATATCAGTATTAAGAGAGACGTGCCGTCTAACACACGCAGTCGTCGCTCAACGGTTATCGCTAATCGCAGAGCCCCCATCCCCCCTCTCCGGCACAAAATGTCAACAAAAGAGGAATTCATATTTCGACGCGCTGAGATTGCGGACATAAAGGCAGTGCGGGAAATGATCCAAGAACTGGCCGATTTCGAGCGTTATAGCAATGGGCCGGAACTCAGTGAGGAGGATCTGATACGCGATGCTGGTCTGACTGGTCAGCAAGAATTATGTCACATATATGTGCTTATTGATAATGCTACGCAGCAGGCTATTGGTTATGCCATCTGCTTCAATTCCTATTCCACGTGGCAGGGACGCGCCTACTTTCTGGAGGATCTCTATGTGCGCCCGGCACATCGTAAGCGTGGCGCCGGCGCCCGCATATTCCGAGAAGTAGCAGCAATCGCTTTCAAACTTAATTGCAAACGCTTGGAGTTTCATGTTCTCTGCTGGAACCCAGCGAGGGAGTTCTACGAGCGTCTGGGTGCAAGCAACCTCACAGCCATCGAAGACGCCTGGCAATATTATCGCGTCGATCAACAACAGTTGGCTAAGCTGGCGGGTGAACTGGCATAGAAGCCAGTGTATATACTATTTGTTGTCAAACATTTGGTGAATAAATAAATAGCTTTAACAATCTCTAATCAATTCATGAGTCTCTTATCAAAACCCACTCCCAGCTTGATTCTGTCACATGGCGGTAAAGTTTTTTCTATCACTTTTGCTTTCTTCAAACTCTTTGCAAGTTTCAAGAGAAATACAATTTACAATTTTTTTTTTACAGGGGCAATCAAGATATCTGGCAGAATAGCAATTGATGCATAGAATGTTGTGATAATAACTCTAAATGGCAATTACAGACGAAAAGAAATTTACGTATCTTCTTCGCTAGCTTTCATGAAATACTTATAAACGCACATACATATGTATAGATACTATACGTACATACATATATATGAGCTCATTTGAATTTATTGCAAAGTGTTTGGGTAAGTGCTGACATAAAGTGTCATATGCATAGCATATCGGATCCACCATATCTAATAGAAATGTGTGTACAGCTTCAACCAGTTTTTGCATGGCAATTAGTTGGTTATACTTGTATTTATATATGGATGTAGATATATTAGAAGCAGTCGGATCGCAAATCTTGAGAAAACAAAGTGTCAATAGAAATTTCCGTCTGAAAATTTTTAATGTTGATGTCATTCAGAGTATTGCTTACTTTTCTTTTAATTGTACAATACAAATTAAGTTAAACAAACAGTTATGTGTAAATAACATGTCTAACAGATTTCAAAACAATCTTTCTAATTAAATGCTGTACATTCCTGAAAATGTACTTCTACTGGAACTTAGTAGCTTATGCTGCTTATTTAAACTTACTAAAGAATCTGAAATGCGATGCTCATTCAGGCAAATAACAATTACATGATGAATTCTTGAACCGTATGCCCTTGTTGATAAGATTTTTCTACGATTTCATTCATTCGGGAAGCGAACAAGAGAGCTGTACATTAAACGCATAGCTTGTTTGAAAAATGCATTTGTTTGCGAAATATGAACAAATGGAAACAGAGCCAACTCATAAATGGGCACGCAATATTGAAAAGTAGGAAGCGTTTGTTTGTTGTTTGAAAGCATTTCAATTCGATGAGCGAATACTGCTTGAATTCTTTATATTACAACTTATTTGGGTAATTAGAAATATTTGAATATTTATTTGTATTCACTTATTAACTGAAAACACACACACTTTGGCGCTGCTCTGTTAATTTTGTTTGTTATTCATTCATTTGTATAAACGTTTTTAATTTACCGGCAACACAAACACAACACAAAGACCCACACGCACACAAGCTGAAGAACATGATCAACTCACTTATTTATGAGTTTGTAGTGGCAGAGTAAACAAAACAAATTCGATTGAATTATTATTGTTATTTTCTTTTAATTTCCTCAACGTATCACAAACTGAACGCGCGCGCACCTTTGCAACAATTAAGACTGTTGCGATTTTTTTAATTATAGCCAAGCCGACTAAGTAGCGTTAGCTCGCTGCGATGTCGGCGTCGACGACAACGCTACCCGCTTTCTTGTTCGCGTTGACAAGCGTTGACTGTCTACGAGTATCTTGACAGCAATGCAAACAGACAGCCAGCCAGCCAGCCAACCAACCAGCTCGCCCGCAAGTCGGCAAGTCAGCTAGTCGGCGGGTTCGAGTCCGAGTCAGCCGGCAAACACAACAATCTTGCTCGGTGCGCTCAGCTGATTGAGCCCCCCCGGTAGCAGCGGCGATAGTTTAAAGCCGGCCGATCGCGAAGATACTGCTCAGAACTAAATCAAGTGAAACAAGCTCTCAATTATCGGTAATGAGTTTGAAAAATGAGACAAATACATCAGCCCTTTGCTCACACAACTCTATTGTTTACTGAGTATTTCTAGCTCTATAAAAAGGGTGACCAGCTATTGTCTCTGAAAAATATTACAATTGAAAAACAAACCTCTTAAATGATCATATTACTATTAACAAATGAATTGCATTTTTTTCAAGGGGCTCTATTTAATAGTTGTACGAAAGTGTAGCTCTCATAAATACAATTATTTATACTTTTATTTATTTTTGCTATTCACCGTCCTATTAATAGATATTGTGTATAATAGTTAGAAAATATTGTGGTAATATCGGCAGTTCTTGGGAACCTATTTTTAGCAAGTAAGTTTTTGAAGGAAAATAACTTCATTTGTTTATTGGTAAAGGGAGGAATTGTTTAATATACCTACAAGTATAATGGTGTACTAGAAAGTGTAAGCGCCAAATAAAAGTAATAGGAAGAAAGAACCGTGGAGGACCCAATTTTTGAGCTACATACAGTATAACGAGGCGAATCAATATGTTTGAGCCATACTTGGTATGAAGACTTGTCTTATAGATACGCTGGCCCTGTCTATTTATAACCATAAGTAGAGGCTACTTATTATTATTATGTAATCTAGCTGCCTTAGGAAACAATTAAATTATTACCAACATATTGTTTATAAATAAATCTTAAGAAAATATGGTGATCATCAATCATTAATTATCAATCGATGTACTATGTTATATAGCATTAGTATTAAAATCAGATTTTGGTATTGAAAATGTTTAAATAATGCCTCACCATGACTTGATGTTATTTTCAGTAAATGATTGGTAGGTCAAAGCTTTTTTTTAGTTAAAATGCTGTTCCGTGGGAAATGATAGCTACAGGGTATTCAAGGGCTGGTCTGGCACAATATGTTAATAAAAACCTACAAGTTTCAGATGTAAAAAAAATCTTTGACAAACTCTTCTATCTTTTCTTTTTTATCAGGATAAAAGCGCGTTATCGATTAAAATACATATTTTAATATTTATTATAATTGTTGAGTTATTAAAACCGTAATAATAATGAGTTTCTACATCCATATAGAGTATATCACGCCACTTTTTATCAACATTTTTGCGCATTAGTTGTAGTCTTTGAAGTACCTATCTACTTATTACCAATTCATCCTTATTCTTTCGTCTATAGAAATACAATATGCTTAGATAAATATTTTCAAGTAATTTGTGATATAAAATACTTGTACATGCAAGTGAGAAAAACATGTGTTTACATGCATTTAAAATTTGTTTTCAACTGTATATAAAATAATTGGCGTTTCAAGCCATTTACAGCGTTCTACAATTAACGTTTAACGATTATAAGGTGTTTTGCTCTTAATAGCTATTTGCTAAAATTATTATGGCTTGGAAAGTGCTGAAAATATGTGAATGCGCTGTGCAATGAAACTACAAGTATAAATGTGTAAATAAATAAATACTGTATTGCTTGTATCGGTAATGGGTGATTGTTTTATTATCATCGAGCTATGCGCATTCTAATTTATGTTGTAAATGAGACAATACAACTATTAGCCTTGTGGGGCGTTATTAGACAAGTTTAGCATTCAAATGAGTTTTTTAATTATAAATGCATTTCATTTCAAAATATGTACAAGTATATTCTTCTAAAGTGTTTCCATAACATTCTCTCATTTCTAATTTATGTCATGCATTTAAATTAGGCAAAAATTTCACGCACAATTTCCTAGCATTTTATTAGCTACTCAGTTGGCCATAAAGCAATTTTCTTTTGGTGTTTATTAAAATTTGCATTTAATTATTTTGTCTGTGACACATAAGCCATCTACATCTACATGTTTACGCACAACATGCTAGTTATTGCCTAAAATTTCATTTGATTATTTGCAATTTGTGGTTGAATGGAACAACAACAACAACAACAACAACAACAAAAACAACAACAGACAACAATATTACGAACGAGCATTTGATAACGAACGCTGCAATTCAGAATAAGCCAGTGGATATACGAGTATATACACGTACATAGTACATGGTATCTAGGCATACTTGTATGTATACACAAATATGAATATTAAATAATGCAAATTATGCAATAGCTCTAATGCAATTGCATAATGCTATAAAGACAGTGTTATTAATAATGAAAATCGCAAAAGCAAGTATAGTACATGTCGCATGCAGGCTTTGCTTTAATCCAACGGCCTAATCGTCGATATGCAATACTCATTCCATAAACTGTGATAACTCTGTTTGCACTTTATACAATTTTTTATTGTTTAAATAGATTTGTTATAAGCTAATGGCCTTGTATTTGTAATTGAATCGATGCCACATATGATTTTACAAATAAAATTGGAATTCTACACGCATGATTTGAGTTATCAGCTTAATGCTTACATACAGTACTATATATTTATGTTTGTATATACATATATGTGTACTTTAAACTAGCAAATAAATAAATACAGAAATGCGTTAATGTATTATTGACATCAACCTGGGCTTGTCCTGATTGGTTCTAATTGGTTTCAGAATAACAATAACTATTTATAGCTGTAAAAGCGATGAATATTGTTGTGCATAGAAGATATTTCCGTCGTTTAAATGCCAGTAGTTTGTTGTCGAGAGTAGAGGGCTTGTCTTGAATATGACATACACACTCATATATCTCAATTTTCTAAACAAATTCTGATATAAACAATATTTAATCATGTAAGCTATTTTTACAAAGAATTTAAAAGCATTTATCCAACTATTTACTTTGAATTTTTTTGAATTTAATTTCAATTTGAATGAGTTGCTCAAATAGCCTAAAAACTAAAGGCATTTATGAATCATTGTTTATTAACCATGATCCGATTTATTTATTTATTTTTGAAAGTAGTGGTTAATTGATTTAACTACGTTTTTGAAAAAATGCAGCTTTTGTGTTAATTATGTGACGTGCCTATTCATCTGTTTGGCATTGCGAATTATAGAAAATAATTAATTCCATATTCAATATTTGTAATATCTGTTGTTTAAAACACATTCAATATATACATATAATTCAAGTGGAAAATGCGCTCTATTAGTTAACAAAAGTGTTGCTTTTTGTTGTTATTTTTTAAGGCTGTTTGCCAACATATGGACTTAAATTCAAAATCAAAGCGGAAACTTGATTTTAGCATAAACTCAATTTCCATAAAATTAAATGGAAATTACAGATTGCCGAGCGTATATTAAACAAATTTGTTAAAATTATGAAGAACATTTATGGGATAGAATATTGATGTATTTACTTATTTGATTATTTCTCTGCTTGTTAACCATTTATAAATTTGTAAAATATTACTTCACTATTGTACAACCTTTTAGTAGACTTGAATGTTTTTTTTTTCTTTTTTTTTCAAATTATTTCATGAAGCCCTTCTTTATTCTTTCAATGCACACAGTTAAACAAATATTATTGTACTCGTATTTATTTATATAGTCTATTATCATAGATTCTTAAACACTTCATGCCTCCTTCCAAACCCTTATCTTTTATTCGTTTTGTTGCTAATTTGTTATTGTATTCATTCATATGATTTATGCGTTTTCACTGCTGGCGATTCTTATCAACTTGATGGCTTTCAAGTCGGCTTGCCACTTGAGAATTTAAATAAATTTATACTTAGCTCACATATATATATACGCATAACTTACAATTATAATAAATATGTGAATATACAAACTATTTATAGTTAGTGAATTGAAGAAAATCTAGTTGGTTATAACTTGATCAGAACCTATACACATGGCCTTTGGAGCTTTGTGCACATTATCAAATTTATGATGCGTGTAATCCACAAACACTGCAAGAAAGAAATATCTCTTTTTTTGGATTACAAAAATTCAGACTCTTCATTCTAGAGTACAAAACAATTGATGAAAAAAGGCGTGCCTTTTCTATAACATTATGAAAATTATTCAGTTGAAATGCATAACAACACATCTGTGACTCCAAAGGCAGTTTGGAAAATCAAAAGATACAAATTTTGTTATGTATATACTCTAATAAGGTTCTGTTGTGCCCCGATATAAAATAAATTCCTCTTGAATGATCTAAATGTCTAAAAACTCAATGGTTCGTGTCTCTGCTAAGCGTTTCCAATTGGAATGCTCTTAGGGTTCTGTGCACCCCAAACGATTGTGCGCTAATAAACTAGATGAATAATAACATATAGTATATTACGCAAGTCATGGTAACTGTACAGACATACAAATACAAAAAAGGGGCAGGAACATTTTAATTGTTTTTGTTTATTTACGTGCTGACACCAACAGGTCGGAACTGGTTACGCATGCGCGATATAGCTTTGTGTGGCTGTGACGTTGTGCCCGATATTTAGTATGTATTACGTGTCTGCATATATTAAGTAGTAACCAGTCAGTCATGAGGTTGGGGGGCGCACGTGATGCAGGAAAAATGTAAACAAGGTTATTTGCGTGAAAAGATATCAGTTAGGAATGCTAAAAATTATGGCGTTGTTGCCAGTCAAGAATCAAATGCCTTTGAAGAGTTATTTGTAGCATCAGAGTCAGATAGTCTAGTGACGCTGCCAAAAAGATAAGCAGTGTATCATTTAACCGATAACAAAATATGTGTCCTCAGAGACGAGGTATGTTAGAGTATCACACAGTACTAGTTAAAAATCTGGCTATTGAGTATAGCTATAATGATTATCAAAAATCCAGCAAAATGTCATATATTTTTATCATTTTCTTATTCATTCCCTAATTAAATGTTTTCAATTGTTGGAAAAAAGTAAAAGTACAGTTTTTTTATCGAGCCCCTCAAAAATGTGGTTTGTCATATCTATAAATAAATTGGCTGAGCTATGCATTTAAATATCTTGCTTATCTGTATACCTATATATACATAAATGCTATTTGTAACTAAGCAAAATCTATATAGATAAAGAGCTGCAGTCACTGACTTTCTGAGGCCAAGAGGTCTGCGGCTATGACAAGCTTCCTTCTGAAACATTTGTGGTATTTCTTAAGTCAACCTTGCTACAATATGTATATACTATAGAAACGCATATATACTTAGTAGTCATTGTTTTGTCTACAAGCTGCAGGCACTGTTTTAACATTGAATGCTCGCTACTTTGCGTAAGTCTATAAAAATAGAGTATATTTATACACGAATTTTTTTTTTATTGGCTTTACGAATGGGTAAAGTTTTTGTCAGGTGGAAGTGTGATTTGCACAAAAATTGGGATGGGCTGAGTTGTTAGATAGGGAAAAAGAAAGCTATTTAGGTAGCAAGGTATATCTGCTAATTGTTCAAATAAAACTTGGTTTTGATGTCAATATTATGAAACCATCTTCATTTAAAACATTTAGAACAAATCTTTGTAAAATACATTTTTCAACAGCCACTAACGGTTTGAGCCATGAAAGCTTTTTAATCTGTTAATACTTAGATTCTAACTGTAGCGATGATCTACAACTGCTTTTAAGTAACTATTATTTATCTCTAATTTTATTGTCTCCCCTTCCGCAAATAAGGCTCTTCTATTTACACAAGTGCGCAAAACTTGGCAGCCAAACAGGTCAATGCCAAAATTCGTTTTTGGCAGAAGAAGTGCTTGAATTCTAGAGAATAGCTTTAAAGCTATCAAGGCTAAGAATTTATCTATAAATACCTAACAAATTGTGAAGTATATTCAAATCTCAATCCTCAACAGTACGTAAAAGCTGTCAAAAAGCAAAGCGAAATGCAATTGTTATCATCTATATTATCGCTCGTTGTACTCCTCTTGGTGGCACGGCCGAGCAGCCAAACCTTTGGCACTACCAGCAATAGTGCAGCAGCAAGAGTTTGTGTCTTGAGGAACTGCAATCTCAATTCAACGGTGAATGTGTGCGGCCGGAACAGCTGGAGCTCGTGTCGCCGCTTCTCGAATCTCTGCCAGATGCGTTATTATCAGTGCGTCACCTCGACGACATACACATCCGTGGCGTTGACTCAATGTTCGGGCCTGAGTGTAGGCTCCAGTGGAACCTGCCGCAGCAGTAGCTCTTCATCGTCCTTATCATCTTCGTCTTTATTATCAGGGCTATCGTCGTCCAGCTCTTCGAATGTGGTGCCAATTATTATCCGAAGAGGTTAAGAACAGTCTTCGAATCGAAAACAAGTCGATTGTGCGAGAGTCTCTGAATCTTTCACAAGTAGACTTGTTACAGTTGTGTGTGTTATATTTGAAAAGTTGATTTAAATAAATAAAATTTAAAAAAGCAAACCTATAAATTGAACGATGCGCAAAACTAAATTTGAAAAAAAGTAGATTTACAACAAGATTGTGTCATATTTGGGAAGTCAATGGCAAAGAGGTCAGAGCTTAATATTCCAAAGACTCGGCTGTTTTATGCACTCCGACTGGAAAATGTATACTTTAAGTAAAAATTCGAACGAGAATGTTAAAGGATAAAAAAGGAACTGACGAATTTTCAAATTTCTCTTAATGGAAATTAAAACTCTGAGTCCAGAGAAGGATCGTTGCATTTTTAAGAACTGCATAATGATGGGTAGATTATTCCTCAGGCAGATATATTCAGTGAGTCAAATAATAAGAAAGTACACATCGTACAAAGAAACCAATAAATATCGTGAAAAGCAAGGCAGGGAAACCCAAATAAAATGCTCCCCTAATTACCATAATTCACCCTTTTGGCTTAAAAGTATATCGCCCGATGCCTTCTTATCATAATGTATAGAAATATATAGCGCTTTGTCAGCCGCATTGTCACTAATGCGATATGTGTGCCACCAATTTTAAGGCAGTAATATATTCAATTATAAACGGAAACGATCAAACGCATCATTAGGTAGTTCAATGGTCAGTTCCTGAAGAAATAAAATGCCAAATAGATTTCTGGTGCGTTTCCAAACAGCTACACACCTTCATGTTGTGGACGTTGTTGACAAACAGCTCGTAAATTATGCGTTCGTTTCTAAAGCAACTCGCCCCTGAGTGTCACCGTTCCTTTATGGTCTCTGGACCGGGCCAGCTACCGTATTGAACCTATTGGCCACGCTTGGTCATTTGTATTGGTTGAATGGCTGCGACGGAAGTAACTCGGCCCGAGTTCAATGAGTTCAAAGGGCATTGAGGGCGGCCATAATCTATATATAGTATACATATAAAATTGATAATTGAGTGTGGCCGATAGTGAAGCCGTTGCATAACTTCTCGACAAAGTGACAACTTATGCAGCCGACGGCAACAAGGCTCCGTTCCGAGCAATCTCAGCGCACTTTTCAATTTCCGTTCTCACAAACACTCAAACACAGGAGAGACAAAACACACAAAGCATAGCCCAAAGGCAAACAAATCAATAATACGCGTAGCTCGCAAAGATTGCGTTTGAGCTCTCGCATCCTTATCGAGCCAAACGACGGCATATGTATGTCGCTGTCCTTGTCGATGTTGATGTCGTTTGTGTACCTGTCTGAGGTGCGAAGCCAAATGCCGCAAGAGGAACAGCCAAGAACAACAAAAGCAGCTCACAAGGCACCACAATTTTTTTTAAAAAAGGATACAAAAGTGCACGGCTAGGGGTGTCGGTGCTGGGCTGCCTACCCATTTCCGTTTAGCAAAGACAACAATAACAATGAGAGATTTTGTAGCTGATAGCTGATACGCTCGTCGTGCGCACCGGAAAAGCGCATTTAACGCGATTTGATGGTTTACAAATTGGCTTAAAGAGCTATCTCCGGCTGCTGCGTGTACAGCATAGACAATACAACAACAACAACAACAACAACCACAGCAGCAGCCGTAACAACTGGCGGCATTTTTTGTTATATCTCGGTACATTCTTGTATCGCATTTTTAAGGCGTAGATACGCGGCATGTTGCGCATTGCTTTTGATAAGATACATTCCCGTACATAGCAGCAGAGATATACAAGTATAATGGCAAAGGGGCTGAGTCTGCAGCTGGTGCTGCTGCAATGCTGCAGTTTGTTGTTGGCCTGCTTGGCAATGATGAAGCTATTTTATAAAATATTTTCAATTTATAATAAAAACCATTCTTTATGTTTGCAGAAGGGACTGGTGTTGGGGCTATTTTTGTCCGATACAGCGAACTGACGGCATTCATGTATGAGGATAACTTGGAGACGGCAATTCAATCAAGTGCCCCTTCTGGGGATCTCGAATGGTCTAAGCAGGTCTGACCACATACTGCTATGAGAAGGCCGTACTAGGTAAGGAGATTCCTTAAATGTGAATCGAATAGCCAATCAGATTCACATCGATATTAAATAAAAATAATTTGGGCAAATTGATTTTCCACGTTTGATTTGCATGCAAATATTTGCCGAAGGGGTCAGCGTGATTTCTGCAATTTTTGTTTGTACTTATAAGTTTATCCAAAATGTAAAATGTGGCTAAAGAATTTGTCAAAAGCACATGAAACAAGATGTACTTTAGTGCATGTGTCAAGACTGAATAACAAATACAGCTTCTTTAGCAAGTATAATCGATAATGTACTACATTTTACAAATGTATTTATTTACTGCAATGTATTTCATATTTTTTGTTTATGGCAATTTTTCATATAATAATGGCATGTGTTCTAGTGGGATCGTGGTCAAATTAATTTGTAAGCATGTATTTTATTACTTGTCGACCGTAAATAATTCTGCAATAATAACTAAATAAACAATTGTTTTTTTTTTTGTTTTTTATTTGGCAATCAGATTCGCGACTCGAAATTTGAAAGAAATTCGTGAAAAATCATTTGTTGCAAGCCCCTTTAAAATAAGACCTGATCATATCTTAACTTGTTCTTTGCAGAATGATATGAAATTTGTATAAGTAATATAATTAGATATAGTAAAATTTAACTACAATTATCTTGATTTAGTTAAATATAGTATTAGTATAAATGAACTCCCTCATAATTAGATAATACTTTGAAGTCTATATTAAAACATTATTAACAGCTTCTTTTATGTACTTTTACAAAAACGTATTGTTTAATAGTTTGAATTATCATTGTAAGAAGTAGAAGCTGTAGAAGTTGAGTCTATGGCTTCCAAAAAGTCTAGTTGAGGACTGTGGCGCGCGATTGCTTTGAAATCCTAGCAAGCTAACAATCAATCATAATTGTTTTCCAGTTTGTCAACATTCTCGGCGTCCTGGCCACGTGCTTGCTCTTCACTTTCAGAAATTTGCACACAATTTTATCGCAATGCAAGCAGAAACCGTCTCAGGCTAGAGTTGCCATCGTTCCCGTTGACGTTGTCGTTGTCGTTGCCGCGCCCTTCAAAGTCTAACAAATACCGCATCGTTGCACACTCTCAAGTGGAAGTTGGCGCTGCTCGTTTGGCGTTGCATAAAGTTGCACAAAAGGCGCTAAGGGAGTTGTTGCATAACAGGCAGTGAGCAAACAATAACAACAACAAAAACAACAGCAACAACAAAGACAACAACTAACAACGACAACGGCTGATAAGCGTTGAAACGGAAGTTGCGCGCTCAAACAAAACGATGAACGACAACATGGCGGCGACGCCACTGCCGCTGTCGTTGCCTTCCCCACTCCCCCCTCCCCCCCTCCCCCACTCGCCAACACTGCTTATTTAACAGTGTTGGTGTATTGTCAATATGGGAACGGGTTGTGGGCGGAAGAATGCGGGCCCGAGCGCCGGCGCTTGTCAGCGTCAGACGTGTGACAAATAAAAAGGCAACGACGCCATTGAGAAGCTGAGGCGCAACAGGCGTGTATATTGACTAACTGACTGAATGACGAGACCGTCGACATCGGCATCAACATCGACGTGGCTCTTATTGTTGCTGTTGCCTTTGCTGCTCCTGCTGCTATCAATGCCATTGAATTCCCCCAGAGAGCAGTCAGTGAGCCAGTCCAGCGTGGCGCGACATGAAAACCGATTACGTTAGCTAGCGACTAACGGTTGATGATATGCATGTGCTGCTAAACGAGTATACATATATATATGTGTGTGTGTGTGTGTGAGTTGCTGTGCAAACACAATAAGTTTGCGTTTGCCTTTGCCGTTCAAGGCGTCAGATGCGTTAACATATGATTGTCCTGCCATCTATGCATATATGTATGTATTCCTACTCTGCGTCTATGTGTGTGTGTGTCGTACGCAAAAAAAATGAGAAAGAAATAAAGGATAAAGGATAACGAAGCGCAAATTTCAAATAATCATGAATATTACATGAGCTGCAAAGTAGACAAACGTTAGCAGCACACAAACACAAAACACATACATACATACATGCATGCATACTTACTTACTTACGGCCAAGTTGTGTGGGCCATTCGATGCCAACTTGGGCCATGATTTATATGAAAATCATTTACACAAAGCAAATTATTTATTAATGTCTAATGCTGCTCATGGTTGGAGATGGTGGAGATGTGAGAATTGGGCTCAAGTGTGAAAATGGCCAGCGATGGGGGATCCTTTAGTGAGTGGAGTCGAAAATAAAGACATCGCCAAATGACTTGTTGAACATGTCAATAAAATGTGTCGGTTTATCACTTGGATGTTTTGGCTAGATATGGGATGTTTATTTGTTTATAAAAAAAAGTGCATTGAATGAAAGTTTACGCAAACTCAAAAAGGAGATTTTAGTACTTAAGGCATTTGTTGAGTTGATTTTGTATATAAAAAAATGAAAGGAAAGGAGTTTATGGAATGAAAGTTTACGTAAACTCATAAGGGAGATTTTAGTGCTTAAGGCATCTGTTGAGTAACACCGCTTCAATTTTTACTTAGAATTTCGACAATTTCGAACCAGATCATGCGATTTATTATAAAAAGTTACTATTATTTTGGTTTGACTAACTTAACTAGCATTGGCATTGGCGTTGTCTCACGTTCATCATTCTTTTCTTTTGACGCTCCCTTTCAATCTTTAGATCAATTTCTATTACGATGAATGATTATTGAAGAGTCCGGCCAGTGCAGTGAGCAATCATTTACCTAGACCAAGGAGCCAAGGAGCAGCAAAGTTGACTGATAGCGTGAGCGTGTCAAAGAGAGCCGGCAATGAGCTCGCAATAACGTGATAAGTGCAGCGGAAATGAAAACAAGTATAACTGTTACTACAAACCGGCACTGGAGGCACTA